GGGACCCAGCGCGTCGAGGAAGTAGACCCCGCCGCCGGTGAAGTTCCTCCCCAGGCAGACGTTCATGGATATCTCACAGATGTCATTGTGCTTGGGCGCTCTCTTGACCCAGTCGAGGTCGTCCTCGTTGGCTGCAGTCTTCCAGGGCTTCATGTGCGCAGGCTTCGCCGAGGCGTACTCGCTGATTGTGAAGGCGTGGTAGCTGTCAAAAGCATCGGCGTCCCATTCAGGGTGCAGAAGCCGCGCAAAGGGCTGCAGCACGTCTCTCGCCAGGGAAGACGCTATCCCGCCAAGGCCAATCTCGTCGAGCACGACGCCAGCAACGCGCCGTTCGCGAACCGACTGCGCATGCGGCCCCTCGTTATTGTTCGGCAAGCTCAAGCCCCGAGCCAGAGGGGAGCGAAGCGCAACGTCGAGCTCCTCCAGGATACGCTCACCAGCCAGAGGTGCCAAAAGCGGTAGGCGGAACAACTCAGACTGGGCGCGGCGTCTCGCCCCACATGTCGCCATCGAGTGCTCACCACCTGGTAGAGTTGTGCCTGTTGCGCTGAGAACGCTCCAGAGCGACCGAGGACTACCATCAGCGACAGCATCTAGCACGGCAGGGTCTACGAGGCCCGAATTCGCCGACCCCTTGAGGGCTCCTCGGCAAATAAGCTCAACTGACTGCCCCTTCCCAAACCCCTCACCCGGGTGCCTGGTCTGGCGATTTTTGAAAGGGGGGAGCCGGCCAATTGTGCGGGGTCTGGGTGAGGGGTTGCCTCTTCCAGAAGTGCTCCCAGGTCCGCCGAAATAGTCCGAACTAGTTCCAGATGGCCTCCCAATTCGTACAAGATTGTCAAACTTCACCCTTATTGGCCTCCAGCATGTGTCCGAGATGCGTTGAGACGCCCCGCGGCACAAGAGCTTCCAACGAACGCCATCAAGAGGCCCCCCCCAAAAATCGTCAACTGTGCATTGCACAGTTTTGACATACTCGCCTTTTCTGTCTGGAGGGCGTTCGAGGCGGCCACCGAGGTCGCCCCAGGACAGTCCCAATGCGTTCCAAGAAGCGCCCCGAACACCCAAAGAAGGGCTCTGGAACCGCTCAGAACGGCCCAGGATGACCCCCGCGACGGCCCAAGATGGGTCCAAGACGGCCGAAGAGGGGCCCGAGACGCCTCAAGAGTTGCCCCAGAGGAGCCCAAACGGGCCCCAGGCGGGCCCGATGCGTCCTCAAGACTTGAGGAAGGACCGACCGTCCCGGCATTCCTATAGTCCTATCACGAAATGCGTTTAGAACCCACACATGTTCTAATGACAACAACAATGTTCTTTGAACATAAGCCCGATGTGCTAAAACAGAACAGTCCCAGCCGGAAATGTTCTAAGAACATTTCGTGGGAACCACAAGGTTCTTAGAACATTGTTCGGTAGGACTGTAGGCGAGCCAGGACGCTTCGCCACTGCTTGACCAAGAGAGGCCCCAGAGGAGCCCAAGCGGCCCCAGGCGGGCCCGATGCGTCCTCGAGACGGCCCCGAAGCGGCTCCGAGATGCCCCCCTGGGACGACCGCCCAAGACTGCCATGGGACGGACCATGATGAAAGGGCCCTGGGACACGCAACAAAAAAAACAAATAAAAGGATTCCCCATAGGTTCCCATCTTTCTGGGGTTCTGTCTTCTCCCCACTGCCAAAATGTTTTCCATATTTTCTGGGGAATCGGCGATTCATCGAGTCTGTGCGTTTTTTCCCCTCCTGACATGGAGGGGATCAGTTAGCATCGAATGGGGAACTCGAATCGACCCCCGGCCCCCGCGGTGCGTGACGCCGCGCGGGGATCCTCGCGCCCTCGCGCCGCCGCCCTAGTGAGGGGCAGGTCTCCGGCCCAGACCGCGGCGCGCCACTGGCTTGGCGCCCCCGCGGGCGACGAGGAAGAAAGAACAGAAAAATGGCATGATGAGGACAACGTATGGCGAGACCGAAGAGGAGGAGGAGGAGGAGGAGGAGGAGGTGGAGGAGGAGGAGGAACCGCGTTGGCTGGGCCAAGATGCACCACGGCGCCATGCACACTTCGGGCCACGTCGGATCGTCGGGGAACGTCGGGAAACCGAACCGCATCGGGCCGGCTGGCATCCCCATCGAAGGGGATCGATATGGGATCAAGGTGGACCCTGACGAGAGTTTCGGCAAGGCGGCCCAAGAGGCCAGCGGAACGTCTCTCTCTCTCTCTCTCTTGTGAGAGAGAGAGAGAGAGAGAGAGAAAACAAAACAAATACCCCAGTGCGACCCTGCCTAGAAGTTGGAGCCCCTAGGAAAGCAGCATTAGTTTCTATGTTATGCTATGCTATGCTATGCCATGATATGCTGCGCTATGCTATGATTTGCTATGGTATGCTACGGTATGCTATGTTATGCTGCGCTATGCTATGCTATGCTATGCTATGCTATGCTATGCTATGCTGCGCTATGCTATACTATGTTACGTAATGTCATGATGCGTTGTGCTATGCTAAGCTATGATATGCTATGCTATGCTAAGCTGCGCTATGCGAAGCTGCGCTAAGATGAAGCGAAGCTAAGCTAAGATGAAATAAGCTAAGCTAAGATGAGATAAGCAACGCTAAACTAAGGGGACGTAACTGGGGGCACCGCGGGGCGGATACTGGGGGAACCGCCCGGGGCGCTTTCCACTGCCCGGCCCCTTTAAGCCCAGAGAGTAAGAACCCTTCTAGGCAGAGCCTAGGTAGGGAAAAAAGAGAGGGCAATCGCCGCGACGGCTTCGTGTTCGTCATCGCCGTCGCCGTCGTTGTCGTTGTCGCCGTCGCCGTCGACGTCGTGGGGCTCATCGTCAACGTCGTCGTCGTCGTTCCCGTCGTCGTCAACGTCGTCGTGTCGTCGTCGTCGTCGTCGTCGTCGACGTCGTCGTCGTCGTCGTCGATCCCAGGACGCGCCTCTCTACGCGCGCGCGCAGCGACGGCGCGGACGAGCGCCCGAGCCCGACGGCGCGCGAGAGGCCGAAGTGCTAAGGCAGGCTGGACAGAAGCAGGATGCCCGCCCATCCTCCTTCTCCTCTCCCTCCTCGCTCCCTCCCTCCCTCCCTTTCTCCATCCCCCTACCTCCCTCCCCCCAAGGCTATGGCGGCAACTCCCTCCATCCTCCTCCTCCTTCCCTCCCTCCCTAAGAGGAAGCCAGGATAAGGACACATTCGGGTGAGGATGAGTCGAGATTCTCTGAGATCCAACGGCTCTGGAAGATGTCTCGGGCGCCGCGGCCGAGTGTTCGGGAACGTGCTGAGGGCGTTCTGGGACGCTCTGGAACAAATCTATCCTCGTCCCAGCCCCGCCCGACTCCCTCCTTCCAAGGCTAGCAAGGCAACTCCCCTGGGCATCGATTCCGGATGGCCTGGTAAGGGTACGCGTACGCGAAGCGTTAAGAGCTTCTTGTGCCTCCCCTTCCCACAGGAGGCAATTTCTTGGAGGTCTTCGTGAGAACGATTGAGGGCTGGTAGGCCCAACGAAGGGGCCATAGAGCCAGATTAGCGCAGAGTCAGAACAAGATGAGAGGCCGATGAAGCCGCAATGAGCGGGAATGCGGGGAAGTCAGCGGGATGCCATCGAATGACTAATTGGTCTGGTTCTCTCGATCACGGTCACAAGCGCCTATGCGGAATAGGATCTCCCAAAAACTGCATCCCAATTCCAGGGGTCGGCGGATGTGGCGTGAGCCCAAGAATCGATTGCGGTGACAGCGTGCAGGGGCCGGGATGACCAGTTCCGAAACTCCGCGCTGAGCTCCTCGTGCCGCCGGCGCAGAGGGCCGACCTCCTCGGCGCTGGCCGCGGCAGCCCGCGCCGCCGAGGCCTCCAGGTCGCCGTGAGTGCCGCCCGGCGGCAGCACCGCCAGGAACAGCACCGCCCGAGAGGCCTGGAGCGCGTGTCTTTATGTTCGGCGATCGTTGGCATCATAGGGGGGGGGGGAGGGGCCAAGGGGGGGGGGGGGTATCACTTAACGCCTCCCCCCCGCCGTGCGCACGGGGGCAGTGCCCGGAGCGCACTGGGGGGGGGAGGGGCGCTACAACGTTATAGGGGCGGGGGAGGGGGAGCCTGGGGCTGTAATGCCCATGAAGCCCCAAGCAATGAAGAAGCACGCTCCTGCGGCTCCGGGCTGTCCTCGGACTGCGACCACCAGGCCGAGAGGCGCGTGTAGCCTGGTGGCACCTCGATGACACCGCCAAGGTGGGAGTTCGGGGAGCAAAGGATGGCATCAATAGAAACGTTCGGAGGTCCGCGCCGATTCCTTGGATCGGCGCTGGACCCCCCTGGCGGCGGCTCCGCGCGCCAGGGAGGGGGTCCAGCGCCGATCCAAAAAACCCGCGCGGACCTCCGAAACTGCATGTTCCTGCAATTATTTGTTCCCCGAGGAGTGCTCGTCGACGCAGAACTGCCAGCGCTGGTCGTAGTTTGCCGAAGGGGGCACTATGTAGTACCACACGCGTTCTCGAGCGCTGCGTGCGGCAACAGTCACGCACTGGCCCGGTGGCAGATCATGGCCGATGCGCACTGGTACCTCCACAGCCTCGCTAGCATACATCGTAGCGCAATGCTCCGGCGACTCGAAATGCAGTCTTTGTGTTGCGGTCACCTTTGCTGGTGGCAGCAACGAAGGACCTTCGAAGAGCTGGCCATTGACAGTCAGCGCAGTCAGAAGCAAAGAGGCCATGACCGCACGGCAGACCTTGAACTAGTGGCTGAAGGCGCGAAGCAGCTCGCCTTTTCGCACGCGCGCTGCTGGCCCGACGGGGCCGTCAAGAGAATGACTCGGCCCGGCGTGAAATCTGACGCGAACTCCCGCTGCAAGCATCCCACGAAACGCCAACTGTCAAAATTCAAGGACGGGCCTGTCAAGTTTCAAAGACATTGGCAACCCGAGCCCTGGCGAACTCGAGCCATAGGTCTCCCCGAAACGCGAAGCGTGAAGAATCGGTTACGCCATGTGTTCCCGAGTAGCGTCTCGCCAGGTCTCTAACGAGTGGCCACATCTTGCCCCCACAGAGCCGCTCCCCGGGGAGTCGAGGAAACGGAGGAAGAGGAGGGAAGGAGGAGGGAGGAAGAAGAGAAGAGGGAGAGATGAAGAGGAGGGAGGAGAAGGGAGGAAGAGAAGAGATGGGGAAGGAGAACAGGAGGATGAGGAGAAAGGGAATCGCATAACCGGAGCCATTTTCGCTCAAGGCAGAGGCCCATCCAGAATGGACTGCTCCAGCAGCATCAGACGACCCCATGGAAGTCGGCAAGTTCAGGAACGACACACTCCAGAAGATCAACAGCCTCGCGATGGTGGCACATGCGGCAGGACAGGCGAACACGGACCACACAGATGTCAGAAGCAGGATCTCACTGCTCGTCTACTCAGTCTCCCTGCTGAAGCCTCTCCATGTGCAGCATCAGATCGCCACGAAGAGAAAGAACACCGTGGATGGGAGGCACCAGCAAAGCAAGACGCTCGACGCGATCCTGCAACAGCAGTACGACCTGGAGGACGAGCTCGAGACCATCAACTACCATATCGACTTCATCAATCGAGGCGTGACGGAAGAGCAAGCCAAGAGAGACGCCACGATGCACAAAGCCAGACCCGAAGCACGACAAGAATCAAAGCCAGCAGCCAATCCATTTCGAGCAGACTCATCGGGGACATCACTCACTGCGGCTCCAGGACCGACAGGCGCCACGTCAAGACCGTTCGGATCGTGTCCGCCGTGGCCTGTCTATGCTCAGGCTCCTCCTGGCCCGCCACCCCCACCGGTAGCCGTGCCAGACAATCGGATGCATGCCCTGATGCAACAGAATATTGACCATGCAGCGTCAGCAAACACTCATGGATAACGCGATGGCGAATCTGGCAGCCATTATGTATGGAAACGGCCAAGGATAGGGTCTAGTCCAGGATCCAGCCACCCTCTCACATGTGATGGCAGACATGATGTCACGCCCGACCCGATCTGGACCTCAGCATCAGCAGCCACCTCATGGATCCAGAGTGGCACCAATTTTCATGTACCCAGTCAGGCGATATAGGTAATGAGTACACAGATGTCGGCCGCATCTGACTCGGTGGCAGATGCAGTGATAACAGAACCAGTCCCAGGCACACCGACTCCTAACCAGAGGTGGGGCCCGAAAGAGGAAATGCCACACTTGGAACCAGTTGCAGCAACTCGGCCTTTTGTCCCGACTCAACACGAGATCGTGGCGGGCCCTCCTTCGGTCACGGGACAGTCTTCGCCAAAGACGTCCCAGAGGCTCGAGGGAGAGGAGGTGATGGACGGCCGACAGCTGCAAGTCCAAGCGCGAGCTCAAGGACCCCAGGAAGTTCAGGGACCAGGAGAATGGTAGCATTCACATCGGCTGCCTTTTGCCCACATGACCTCACGCCAGTGAGCAACAGGAGCAGCCCGGATATTTTGCAACATGCGCACGTCGCTGACACTATCCTTCGGTCGGGCGTGCCCCCCTACAGGCGGCTTTGGGGCGAAAATGAAACATACAAAACATACTCCAAAATGGGCAAAGAAAGAATCAAACCATCGTCCTCGGACTATGTTTGTCTAGTTCTGAGTACTCCTCCTGTGGAGGGATACGACCGAGGGCGTGCAGGCTCCACAGGGATCTTGAGGCGGGCCCTCCGGCGTTGGGAAGTGCGCTGGGCCCTCCGACCCCGAGGCCGTCTCGCAGAGAGAGGGGTGACCATCTCCACGGGGATGCCGCGTGGGCTGCCGTTCGCCAAGCGAAGCCTCGGGCTTCGCCACGCTGGTTTCGAGAGCACGCATTGCGCAAATGTTCGCATAGCGCGGCCGGTCTCGCCGTATAACGCTCTCTCCACAGGGATGCAGCCCGTGCGGGGGGGGACTCAAACCTTCTCGGAGCAACCAGTCCCCGAGGCTTCGCACGCCCGTCTGCACAACACGGGGGGGGCATGCCAGACCAGCCCGCAGAGCGAAGGAGAGGTCAGGGATCGACCTCATACGCTGCGCCATTTCACACCGCCTGTTATATCATGATGTAACTTCCTGCACGGCGGTCACCTAGAGAAGGACAGCAAAATACAAGACGCCCAGGGAGATGGCGGGTGCTCTTGTCTTATGTAAGCATTTCCTAATGCCCACCGGCATGAGCAGCACATCGTTCGCTGAAAAACATGTGGAAACCAGGGTCACACTCCTGCACTGCAGGGACTTAAGGACCTCGATGGTTGCCCCGAATTGTCCTATCACTTCGCACAGGTCGATCACCATCCTGCTGCTGCCTTTGCACTCTCAGTGACGGTCCCCTCTGAATCCCTTTCTCCAAAGGCACCTTTTTATACAGACCGATCACACTACGAAGACCATCTGGAAAACGATACTTGGACCTTCGTAGTGTGCTAGAGCTGTGACCAGGCTGGAGACAGCTTCACTAGATATATCGAAAGGGATCTATGATATAATCCATTCCAGCAGACGCTCCTCCAGAAAAAATAACAGCACATATTCAGAGATTGCAGCACGTATCCGGGCGCTTGCACGGCCCATCTTGACTCCGCACGTTCATGATTGGACGCCGCAGGTTTCACTTGGGTCAGACTCGCCAAGAACGCTGGGGCTTGCACAAGGCACAGCTGCATCCCAAGAGTTGGCCGGCCACGCTGACATCGTGATTGGACCCTTGGGCAGAGTTGCAGCACGGGTGTCAGTCTCCTCTCACCCTGGAACGCGCTCTGTGACTCCCTCGTGCGCTTTCTCCCCGCCTATGCCTACCTCGGGAGCGGCCAAGAGGGGGGGTTCCAAGAGGGGGGGGTGCAAACCATGACTGGCGGCATGTGCGCGGCCCAGCGGGGGGCCAGGGACGTAACGAAATAAGAAGAGGCGCCATGACATCTGGGGAGAGATCATGGCCCACGCCATGATAATTCACCCCTAGTCATCACCCCCCTCTTTTCCGCCCCCGACTATCCTACGGGGGCCAATTTCAGAGACCTCGTCTCCAGCGAGAGAAGCTAGACGTGGCTTTGGTGATGGGGCGCCCCGCTACACGTGAAGGCTGCGCATCCCCATTTTCCGGAGGAATGCTTTGTGGCTAAATAGCGAGCTCCCGAAACCCATCCCCCATCCCGGGCCAGGGGAACCAGGGACAACTAAGCAAGGCAGGCTTTGGTTTCAAGTGACTTCCTACAATGTTCCCACCACCAAAGACGAGACAGTCAAGGGTCAGCAATTACAAGTAACCAACAGGGGCATGCATGTGAGACAGCAATTCTCTGACCTAAGACACGCACTAAAAGAAACCCAGGAGAGAGAAACAATGCGGCTTCCTGATGTTCAATAGCCTAGCCAAAGAGGGCAACCTGGGATGTTCGTTGTGGGTTTCACTTCGCCAGCCCTATGGTTGCGCCGAAGACAAATCATTGTACTTCCTTGAACGGCATTGGAAGCCAACCCAGGCGAAGCCGAGGCTGCTGGCAGTTGCACTGGATGTTCCTCACCTTGCGCTAATTGTAGTAAATGCACACGTTCCGCATGCGGCAGATGAGGAGAAGGTGAGGGCGGACTTGTTGGAGGAGGTTTCCAGAATACATTACCGTTGGGGCACAGATATCATGCTATGCGGTGCAACTTCGCATGTAGGTTCTGAGACCTCAACGGCAATCGGTGCTGGAGGTTTCAGAGAGCGGCAGGATGTCCCAGACAACATGTCTTACAGTGCCCTACGTCACCTGCAGCCCGTGGCGGTGAATGCACACCTGTCCACGGGACTTACACACTACACATACACAGACGTCAAACAGAAACAAAATAGACCCCCAGGCAGATGCGAGCTCAAGAGGACCTCTTGGTCCCGAAATTGAAGAATATAATTGCCTCCGCCACGGGAAAGACAACGTAACCATCTCGATGACACTATGGCCAGGGATTCGGCGACACGGGTGGCCTCCATGGGGCCAACAACCACATGTCTGCCGCAGCAAAGTTCGACACGGCATGCGAGAAACGCACAAGGCCTCCGCGATCAGATCTTTTGCCACGAGCTGTAGCTGAGGAGGATTTGGCGCAATGTAGGCATGCTGTCAGGTCGCTCCACTTACAAAGATGGGGCACGGACGATGAATGCGATCACCCTTTTTGCAAGAGTGCGTTCAGTACTATGGCCTCTTGTTTTCCTAGACCGCCTGCAGTACCGAAAACACCCTGCGTCGCAGGCGAGTCGATGACGGCCACCACGCTTCAGATGCGAATTCAGAAAGCGCTAAGATCAGTCAGACATGAAAGCGCCCGGCCCATAGTTACGCGAGTGCAAGATACCAGGCCTGCAACCTCCAGAAGCATTGGTAACCGTAACCTTTTACCCCCTCCTCCATGCGGACAGCTATGCTGAAAATCATTGTACGCGTGAAACAATCGTTGATTCACTTTTTTCTCGGCCAAGAGCAAGAAGGTCATGAGGTAATTGCTCAGAGGATGTCGCGCGGAGTTCCTCAACCAGCAAGCGCACGACCTCGGCGACAAGATTGCACAGAAAGATCCCGAAACAGAATGAGACGACCTCGGCACTTTGAGGACATTCGGAGGATGGCAGGAAAAGAAAGAAAAGACCACAACGGCGCAACTCCAAATTAAGATAGACTTAGGTCGGGCCTGTCCCTCTAAAGGGGGGATTTCGGGGAAAAATAAAAAACACGAATATTCCAAAACTGCTGAAACATTGGAAACAGAAATCGTCCCCTGACTATTGTTTGACTATTTTTGAATATTCCCCTCCTGTAGAGGAACAGGCCCGACATAAGGATAGACCCCACTGATAAAGTGCTCGGGACCAAGCATGGCACTGCTGATGATGCGCTGCGCAGATCTGCCGAGCTGGAGCGCGCGGAAATGCCTGAACGACCCGGCCTCTGCAGGAATTACAGCTCTGATCAGAGGCCCCCCGGTGCAAGAAGGTCGAAGTCTCGGCGGTCATGCCTCGCCTTGAGGTTCGGAGCATGTCTCTTGGAAGCCCCGACCTGACAAGTAATGATTTCAGCCGTCTAGCAGCCGACTAGATCAGCATGCAACTTCGCCCCCTCTTTGTCAGGACTTCTATATTCGGGGGACAGCCGGTATATCAGACGGACCCTGGATGTGTGATCGAAACCTGCAACAAGCAAATCATACTAGGATCCCATGTTGCGAAACGTCACCACGCCTCCTTGACATCCACCCTCTCTCTTCTCACGCACATGTTGATTGGAGAAGTCCACAGCTTCGAGGGCGCGAGGAGGAATGAACGGGGCAAACGATTCTCTCGACTCAGAGTTACATCGCGAAGTGCAAGAAAAAAGGAAATTCTGCACTCCTACTTGTCAGTGACTCGCGCAACGACTTCTAGTCAGTTGCGCGCCAGTGTTTGCTGCAAGTTAGACGCCCAGATGATGTAGAAATGGCAATTCGGGATAACGAGACCCCCCAATGCCGTATAGGATCCCATGGGACCCCCTACGAGAGTCCCAATGAACCTGGACCTAGACAAAAAAATGATCACGTCAGGAAAATGCCCCCAAAGTAGCCTCTACGGGAACTGGTTCTAGGTCGGTTATGATGAAAAACCGGCCCCAAGTGAGACGGGCGCGAGAGTTGGAATGCCCGTGATGGACTCACTTTGTCCGTCCCAATTTCCAGCCAGTGCAAGTGGAGATCCATGATGAGCTGAAGAAGGCAAATCTCCCACTTCCCTCGGGTGCCCAATATCCCGAGAAGGCCGCCATGTGTCGACGCGGGAAGAAGACCGAGTGGACGAAGCGACGGGGCCATCCTGCGTAGACGACTTGGCCGCTCTTGCTGCTGCCAAACATTGTCAATCCTGGCCAACAGCATTGGATGCTGCAGCGATCGCTTTCTTTGAAGCAGCTGCGAAGAGAGGATTGGTGCCCAACTTCGAGAGAGACAACGTAGAAGCCATGCTGGTCTGCCTCGCGCAAGAAAGCAGGAAAACCCGCAGTCACTTTTACGTGAACGGTTGCGCCCTGCACCCCATCTCTCGGCAACACCTCGCCATCCACCCTGCCAAGTAATTGAAATATCGAGGCTTCCAATCCCCCTCGGACTTCAGCGCGGCCCCAGAGATCGCTGCTAGAACCAAGAGGGCGAACGAAGATATAGAACGGTTCAGGGTAAAGTGCAACATATTTTTGAACACCACATCACATATATGCGAAAGCCAATGTTTCATCCCACCTCCTTGACACTTGCTTGGCGTGATCCCATCTAGGAAAGGAGACCCAGGAACGACTGGGCGCTGCGCATCTACATATGCTTTGGGCCGCTATTCAGATGACATAGGACAATGAGCAGATGAATCAATATCACATTCATGATGTTTACGTCACTGCAAATATTCTGTCCTCTTGCGTCAATGTCGGCCTCTGGGGACTTCGACTAGTTGGAACACTCATGGAGACGGGGCAGACTACACTAACGAGATTGCTGGCACGGGGCTTTCACGCGCAGTCAAAGTGGGGCCGCAAACTGGTTGAGGATGCTTGTTGGGTATCTGGCTAGGTTAGAATCTCCAAGCAGGAATGCCCGCGCGTGATTTTAGGCAGTGGTCGAGGATGGCCAGCGATAGCCCTGGGGAACGGCTTCGTTCATGCACTCTAGGTGAGCAAGCGGCGCCGACTACCTTCATGGAGCATCAGCAAGCAAGCCTTGCAATTTCAGGCTAAGTATAAGCGCGTGTGTTCCATGGAGAAGCCTTGTATTCCCCCCCCCCCCCGTGTGCGGCGTCCCAAAAGTGACGCCACGTGCGCGTGCCACGGTTGATCAGTTGCCACCTCGAGTCCAGGGGCTCTGGCCGCTCGCCGCGCCAAGATATATCCAGTGCACGACAAGGTCAGTTTTTAGGCCACAGCGTGCAGCTTGCGGTAGAGACTTCAGCACAATACTCAGACTACTGCGCCACCTTCGGCACGGGTCGAAATACAGCCGATCTCGCGTGTGTGCCAAGCTCAGGCCAACCACTGCAAAAGATGTCCTGGCCCCGGCAATGGGGCGACGCCAAGAATGCGCACAATCTGGCCAACAAAGGTCGAGGTGCCGGCTTTGCCTGAGCTCCGCCGAGAAGATGATGGGACCTACCCTTATAGGGGTACAAGTCCAACAGTTTCAGAAGTTCCAGGCTCAGCGCTGCAGCGTTGGCGAACTTGGGGACGAGGCGGAGTCTGCCGACAACTCCCCACGGATGCCTGCTCATATGCCAATAGTGTAAGCCTGTATGCAGCATGTCACGCACAAGGCTAGACATGAGTTTGATACCGCCAATATTTTGATACCAGGAACCGCGACGAGACAAGAGAGTAGGCGTGCTCACAGTAACACCATCCTCAGTAGCAGCAAGCTCGCACTGCCAACATTTTCCGATATGTTCATTGCTGAACATGTTGCCGCTGTCATGTGTGGCACTACTTCTGGTTAGCTACTAAAAGAGGAGGCACCCAGGACCCTGGCACACCTGTGAGGACTCCCCTTGGGTCAGGGGTCGGCAAGGGAGATCCCCTCTAAATGCCAACCAATGTCTGAAGACAGCTCTAAGTTGTGCTGTGACTTGTGCTGCGAGAGGTGCCAGGTTTGCTTTTGACGCTGTAGATACAACATCCCCAGACCTCCCATCCAGATGGGCTCTGCCCGAGACCAACCACCTACTTCAAAGCAAAGGAACAGGCATATGCAACATTTAAATTCGCGCTTGATTTTGGAATGCCACATCGTCCGCGCCCTCGACCCCTGCGATCAGACTTGAAGCCATGGAGGACAGGCCTGCTCGGGTTCTCAGCTGCAGAACCCATGGTGAGCAGATAACGGCATCTGTACACAGTGATACTTCGAGCCTCCAAGATGCTACGGGCGATGGCGTTGACCTGTTGGACCCCACCCTCGTGCCCTTCCAGGTCCCGCTGCATCCGCATCGGGACCATGGGCCAAAGGGGCGGGCCCGCTGGCATCGAGGCTAGCCCTCTCCGTCCGCTGTCCTCTTCCCACCCCCGTTCTGATTATGTGCGTGTTCATTCGGGTGCGTGCTGTGTGACACTGAGACCCTTTGGCGCCCCCGTGGTCGTTGGCAGCAAGGGGAACGCAGACCGATGCGCCCCCTACAAGGCACGGGAGCCGAACAAGGGGTCCAATGTCAGAAGGGTGCAGGCGTCGGCCTTCGACCGAGGGTGTCCTACATAATACGCAATCCGTGTTGAAGAAGAAAAACACGGAAGATCCCGCCCACCTGCGCACCAGCCGACTATACGTAAAAAACCCACACGCCGTGCCAACTGGCGGGGGAAAAGCCCACCCGGGAACACCCACGGCACGGCGCAGCGGGGGCATGCGAGCAACGGTCCGACCGGAAGTGACCGCGGGACCCAGGCAGGCCAGGCGAGCTCAGCACTTCTCCAGCGCGTCGGGCGAGCGGCGCAGGCAGTCCTCGTCTAGGGCGGTGAACTGCGGCCCCTGCAGTGGCCAGTTGCCGCACCGCGCCTGGATCGCGCCAGCGGAGCCGCCGCCGCGCCAGCCACCACCGCACCGCCCGCCGCCACCGCGGCAGCACCGGCTGCCGCCACCGCCGCAGGCCCCGCAGGGGCCGACGCGTCAGCCATCCGCGGCCTTCCACCTGCCGCGCCGCCGCTGCACGCTGGGCGGCAGGGCGTCAGCCCAGCTGTCGTCGAACTCCTCGTCCTCGTCTTCGGTCGGTCCTGTCCCCCCCCAAACAGGGGGATTTTGGACGAACAGTTGAAAAAAGCCACGAAAATACCCCCCAACATGCGCAGGCATACTCGAAAATCTGCCCCGGACTATCTTCGAAACTATTTTTGCAGATTCCTCCTGCAGAGGCACAGGCCCGACTCAGTCCTCGTCCTCGTCCTCAGTGGCGGCCGCGCGCGCTGCGCCACCGGGAGCAGCGGCAGCAGCAGGAGGAGGAGGAGGAGGAGGAGGAATAAGATAGGAGAAGGAGGAGGAGGAGGAGGAGGAGGAGGAGGAGGAGGAGGAGGAGGGGTGGAGGAGGAGGAGGCAGAGGAGGAGGAGGAGGAGGAGGAGGAGGAGGAGGAGGAGGAGGAGGAGGCCGCCGCCAGCTCCCCAGCGAGTGCCTCGGCGTTTTTCCTCCCGTTCCGGCCAAGGCGGGGCGCACCGACCCACGCGGACCGGCCGCAGGCGCCGGCACTCACGGAGAACGCGGCCGACACCGCCCAGGGGGAGGAAGGGTGAGGAGTAAGAGGAAGAGGGGGAAGCAGAGGAGGAATAGAGGAGGAGGAGGAGGAGGAGGAGGAGGAGGAGGAGGAGGAGGAGGAGGAAATTACTCAATCACGTGCAAAAGCTCGCGCGCACGTGCGCCGACCTGGGTAGGCCGTCACAACCCACGGTCGACTGAATTCGGCGATCTGGCCGGTACGCTGTTCATGTGCCTTCTTAGATCCTCCTCCTCGAATCTCCTCCTCTTCGATCCTCCTCGATCCTCGATCTTCCTCCTCCCTCCGCGATCCCCTTGTTGGTCTGCCTCCTCGATCCTCCTCCTTCTCAACTCCATCCTCCTCCTCGAGCGGCTCCTTCATCTCTGGGTCGGCCCTCAGCTTCTCCACGGAGCTCTGCATGTTGTTCTGCCCCAGGCAAAATGAAGCGCACGCGCACACGCGCTCGCTCACTTTATCTCCGACGGCTGAATACCTCAGCCAGCGGGTGCCAAGATCGAGCCAGGACGTGGCGAAGACGTTGGTGAGGCCGCGTGGAGAAACCGCAATCGACCGCGTCGCTATCTTACCGCCCGTCGAAGACATCTCAACGCCAGGCCCAGGCAGGCAAACCACGCATTTTCCACGCCCTTCATCAACCCCCAATCTGACGTTCCCCCCTGATTATCTCCCCGGCATTCTGCACCTGCCCCTGCCCCATCTCCCTTCTCACGGGGGCGCCCAAACATGAATTAGCGTCCATGGATCTGGCGCGCGGTCGCCAAATCCATGGATCAGGGGAGGTGCCCTCCCCAACATGCGGCCGGTGCCGCCTCGCTCGGCGGCGGAAATACGCCGACCCTGTCGGCGTGTGTGAGGGGCTTTTCCGTTCGAGCCGTCATCTCCGTTATTCTTTGTACTCGTCGTCTCTGTCCTTCCCTTTCCCTGGGACTCCTCTTCCCCTGGGCTCCAGCCAAGCCGACCTTGAGCAACGTCGTAATTCAGTCGAAGGGAAGCCCCTTCCCTTTGATCCCTCCCCCGCCGGGAGGGGGGGGGGGTAGCGGGGGGGGGTAGCGACCCCCCCCCCGGGTCAGATACGACGCCCCCCCCCCGTACCGACCTTGAGCAACGTCGTAATTGAGTCGAAGGGAAGCCCCTTCCCTTTGATCCCTCCCCCGCCGGGAGGGGGGGGGGGGGTAGCGACCCCCCCCCCGGGTCAGATACGACGCCCCCCCCCCGTAGCCGACCTTGAGCAACGTCGTAATTGAGTCGAAGGGAAGCCCCTTCCCTTTGATCCCTCCCCCGCCGGGAGGGGGGGGGGGTAGCGGGGGGGGTAGCGACCCCCCCCCCGGGTCAGATACGACGCCCCCCCCCGTACCGACCTTGAGCAACGTCGTAATTGAGTCGAAGGGAAGCCCCTTCCCTTTCCCTTCCCCGACGGGGGGGGGAGGGGGGGTCCCGGGGGGGGTCCCAGGGGAGTCCCGGGGAAGTCCCGGGTCAGATACGACACCTCCCTCCCCCACCTTCTCGTCCTTCTCCCCGTTCCCCAAAACCATCCCACAGCCCGTGCCTCTTGCTGCGCATTGCGAACAGGGTCGGCGGCACCGGCCGTAAGGCCTTCGCAATCAGCGATTTCCCATGGAAACGGGACACGTCGCTAATCCACGCCCCCTTACTCCATGTTTGCGATCGCCTGATTCTCGACATTCTCATCCTCATCCTGCGCCTCCTCCCCCCCCTCCTCAACGTGGTGCCCCTGGTTCTCTCCTGCTCCTTCCTTCCGCCATACCCGTCGCTAATCCACGCCCCCTTAATCCGTGTTTGCGATCACCTGATTATCGACCTTCTCATCCTCATCCTGCGCCTCCTCCTCCCCTCCTCCCAGTGGTGTTCCTGGTCCTCGCGGGGCCACTACGTTTAGGTCGGGCGTGTCCCCCTGCGGGCGGTTTGTGGGCGAAAGATAGAAACTGGTACAAACATACTAGAAACAAATACAAAACCAAATAATCAAAACACCGTTCCCAGACTTTTTTGTATATATATTTTTGAATATTCCTTCTGTCGAGGGACAGGTCCGATTGAACACTAAGTGGGAGAGCTCGTCTCGTGTCTTGTCCCCTCCTCCCTCCATCCATCCATCCATCCGCCTCTCCCCCTCTCATGGCAACAATCGAGGCGGCACAGCACGATCCCGTCCAGTCCGCTCCAGCTCGCGAAGGGAAGGGGAGAAGGAGGTGAAGGGACATCGGGAGGGGATTGGGGGAGAAGTGGAGGGGGAGAGCAAAAGGAAGGGTGCGGTGATGGCGAAGGGTACGGGAACAGGGACGGAGAGGAGGAGCAGGAGGAAATGAGGGAGGGCGACTCAGGGGAAGGAGGTAGGAGGAAGGAGCACCAAGAGGAGGGGCGGGGGGATGAGGCGGAGGAGGACGACAGAGAGGACCGAACCAGCAGGAGGACGATGAGGAACGGGAAGGAGCGAGGCAGGGGGGGAGGGAGAAAGAGGAGGGAGGAGGCTGGGGGAGGAGGACACAGCATGGCATCCCCTGCTGGGAACGGGCGGCTCGCTGGTCGACGAGCCGAGAAGATATCAAGACAGCTGACGGGCGAACGCCGTTTCAGGGGGTCGTGTGAGATGTTTAACGTTATACCCACCAAGGCTGTTGCAATCATCACATGTGACATCTCCCCGCTCTCTCGCTCTCACTCTACTTATCTAAGTACCGTTATTTACATATGTTCCTCGTCGTGTTGTTGTTGTTGTTGTTGTTCTCTCTCTCTCTCTCTTTATACTTTATATACGTATGCATCCCCAACTCGCAAGCTTCCTGAAAGGCTTCGATCTGCCTTTTCTTCTCGGGGTCCTGGCAACCACCGACACGCAGCAAGGCCAACATCGATATCCATGCCCGCACTCATTCGCGCTCCCGGGGGGAGAAAGAGGCGGAAGGGCTCGCGAAGAAGCGACCTCCACGAATGCCCCTGGCCCGCATCACCCGTCTCTGCGCGCCCGCGCTGGAGAAACCAAACAACCTCCCCCTCCTCGTCCTCCTCCTCCTCCATCTCCTCATCATCATCACCACGACCACCATCAAACCATCACATTCACAATCACCAGCCTTTACAGGCAGAACCTAGCGAGCTGCAGGCAGAGATTCAGACGCCCTAGCAAAGAGACGGTGGGTGGAAAACAAGAGCCGACTCAAGAGGGAACATGGACGCACAGGCTCCCGAAACGGGACATAGAAACAAATACTTTCCGGGCCGACCCCCTGGCTTTGTGGATGCGATGTCTCGGCTTCGTGCGCCCAAACATCCTGCGCCTCGAAAAGATCGAGGTGGCTGGTGGTGGGTCGCAATGCTTGCCACCAACACATGGACTTAGTTTTGGGCCCACAGACCGTCAACAAGTGGCTCGGGATGGGCAACTGGCACTGGAGAAGGGGTCGAGAGGTTCGGGAGCACGCGCATCCAACAACTCTGAGCGCCAGACGTCTGGGTACGCAGATGTCGCGTGCCGCTCACACGCTCAGCGCAGCAATGGAACTTTCGCCGAGTCATGCGCGTCATTGCTTGAGAAGTATGACGCGCTCGTCATGGAGCACGTACAGCAGATCTGCAACTGTGCCTTCTGCTCGGGGGGTAGTGGAGCATTTCAATGAAAATTGCTGCTAGAACTCTGTGAATATAAGATGGCCCTTGTCCTTAACAAGGGCACATCCCCCGAAGACCCCTTGTGAATCCTGACACCTCCAACGGTGATCCCAGAAGTGCCAAAGATGGCCAAGAGCCAACACAACCACCAAGATGGTCCAACATTGCCTTACGAGGGACCCAACAGCCTCCGAGGACCCCGAGAGGCCCCGAGAATCCTCAAAGGTGCCCCTGTTCCAGCCGGTCCCTCAGATGCCAGTTCGTTCAGAACAGATACGGCAGCAAAAAACACATGTGCCCTGTGCTTCCTGACTGTCACCCTTTTTTCGGCGGCGAGTCCGGGGGGGAAGCGAGAAGAGGCGGCCCTTCTCAGAAGGCTCGAAGTCCCCCGGCCTTCTGAAACATGTTCTAAGCCTCCCCCGAAGACGCAGAAAACCTCTCAGAAGGCCTCCTCATTTTTCATTTCCCCCCCTTGCTTGCCGCCGAGGTTTTGCTCCACGAGCTCACAAAGATCCCCACGAGCTGCACACAGCTCCCCCCCCAAACGCGGCCCCCAGGAGGCGCCGAGGCGGCCACGAGGCGGTCCCAGACCGCCCCCAGCAGCAGACCGATGCTCAAGCAGTCCCCGGGGCCGGGCCCGCGGCGGCCTCAGGAGGCCCGTCGGACGGTGCCCGGACCCTCCGGAGAGCTGCCCCCCAGAGAGGCACTCACCAAACTGGTCCCGGGACCCGCCAAATGGGTCGTCCCGAGGACGCCGGGCAGGCTCCCGGGGAGCCCTCCCAGCAGGCTCCTGGGAGGTGCCAAGGCATCGACGTGGCACGCTGCAGCCTTCCCGGCCACGCAGAAAACGGCTGTCGCATGCTCCGGCTGCACCTCCCCACGGTTCTCGGGAGCCCTTGAGCAAGGCCTCTTGTAAACCCGTGCTGTGGCGCACCTGAGAACACTGCAGCCGCAGGCCGAACCATGATCCGTTCCTCATTTTCTCCAGCTGTAATTTGCAAAATCCTGTTTTGCGAAGTCCTGGCTTCCGTGGCCCTGATGTTGGAGCCATCTGGGATATCCAGACAACAAATGACCCGTAGATGACAGTCTGGTCGTTGGGAAACCAACCATCACGTATTACAGACTTGGCGAGCCTGCAGAAAGAACAAATTACGTATTACGGTCTGGACTCTGGGGACGAGAGCTGCCACGTGTTTCGACAGTTTGGGCGAGTCTCGAAAGGTCGCTGCAAAGTTTGCTACCCTGGTGTCGTGGCAGAACTTGCCCCAGGCACATGGATGGAACGATGTGCATATCACGCAACACGTCATGTACACATCACAGAAACTACATACTGTGTCTGGACGCCAAGGACTGGGAGCACGAACAGTTTTTACCCTTGCGACTGAGCTGCACCCCGAGCCAGGCAATCGACCACAAGACGCTGCCTGGTTACAGGAATGGTTACAGGAGGGCCTGGTTTGCCTGGTTACAGGAGGGCAGAGCGTGAAGGTCGCCACCACTGGAGGGGTCGCCGAAGGGGGGTCCATCGATGGGGGGAGAATGGTGCACTTCTCGGGACGGAAAGGCCCCCATTTGTGAAGAGGCCCTGCGACACACAAGTAAATACACACAAATAACCCGATTCCCCTATATTTTCTCATATGTTCTGGGTTTTTGCCTTCCCGCCCAATTGCCATATTTTCCCATATTTTCTTGGGGACCGACGATTAATAATGTCTGTGTTTGTTTTTCCTCTGGAATTTGGCCCTAAAGGACCCCTTCAGGGGCCCCTAGGGGGCCACTGTTCTGCGGCCCTCGCCGCCCACCCATCTATCGCCCCCCCATGACACGACGCCCAGAAACTGCACACACACACACACAAATGCACATACATACACACATGCACACATGCACACATGCACACATGCACACACCACACACACAAACACACACCACACACACACACCACGCACACACACACACACACACACACACCACGCACACACACACCACACACACACTCACACCCACACACCCACACACCCACACCCATACCCACACACACACACACACACTTGTTTTGCGTCGGCGGTTAGGCAGAGTGACTGCGCTGGCGGAAAGGGCGAATGTTGGACGAACGCATGCAACTTAGGCCGCGATGCACGGGTGGGGGAAGGGAGGCGCCAGGCGACGGCGGGGAGGAGGAGGAAGCCGGCCCCGCTCACAGCGGGGCGAGGCGGCGGCAGGGGGAGACACACACACAGACACACACACACACACCCACACCCATACCCACATCCACGCGCACACCCACACGCACGCGCACGCGCACGCGCACGCGCACGCACGCACGCACGCACGCACGCAAACACGCACACACGCACGCACGCACGCACGCACGCACGCACGCACGCACACACACACAGAACACAGAACACAGAACACAGAACACAGAACACAGAACACAGAACACAGAACACAGAACACACACACAACATGTCGCAGAGCCGCACGGATCTCTCGGGTACGCGCTGGAGGCCCGCTGCCCCGGCGCTCGAAGAGCACCGGGGCCCCACCCACGCCGACCGCCCCCAGGGAACCCGCGCGGGCCTCCGAGGAGCCCGCTCCACTGGCGCGCGCGGCGCGCCAGTGAGCTGGCGTGCCGACCCCCAATGAGTCTGCGTGGGCCTCCGGAAGCCTCCGTTGATGGGCCCGTGGACCACCACCACTACCACAGGTAGGAGAGGAGGGAGGAGGAGGAGGAGGAGGAGGAGGAGGATGAAGATGAGGATGAGGAGGAGGAGTACGAGGAGGAGGAGGAGGGAAAGGAGGAGGAGGAGGAGGAGGAGGGGGACGAGGGGGAGGAGGAGGAGGTGGAGAACCTCCTCATCCTCCCTTCTCCCCCGTCCTACATGTGGTAGTGGTGGTGAACGACTGGCCCATCATCCGTCCTTCGGTTTTCTGAGCCGCCGCGCCGGCGGCACGTCGAGGCGCATGTACTCGAGAGCCCCTGCCGGCCGCCACGGCGGCGTCTTTTCTGCAGCTTTTTCGGCCGCGGCCGTGGCGGAAGCCTCCCTCGCCGCACAGGCACTCGCGCAGAAATTCCCCCCCCCCCGCCACTCCTTCCCGACGCTCTCCTCGGCCGCGAGACGGCTCCAGATCACGCCCAGAAGACCGCCTGGAAGACGCGCAAGACCAGAGATGTTCACAAGAGGGTCCCGACGGAGGTCTCCCATAGGGCACCCAGAGACCACACGCGTCCAACCGCATGTCGCTTCAGCGGTTGGGGCTACCCGAGCTGTTTAGCCGAACACTGAAGTAGAAAAGCTCCAGCAGCCACAATGACGATCCCACAGGTCCCAAGACGCTCCGAACACGGTCGGAGGATTTCTCCATACGGCCCGAGAACGCCCCAATATGGCTCTAAGAGGCTCCTCCCATCCGTCCCTCATCCACTCCCCGCCTCCCTCATCGGGAGTCCTCCATGATCTTGGCGGCCGCGGCCTGCAGCTCTTTCAGCTTCTCTGGATCTTTCATGACCTCCTGGAAGAATCGGATGCACAGGGAGGACGGGAGGGGGCGAGAGAGGGAGAGCTACGCGGTATGATCGCCCTGCTGCGGTCTCGAGGGCGCCGAGAGGGATGAAGACAACGATGAGTATGACTCCCGGGGAGACGAGGCAGAGGAGGAACGGGGAGAGGGGGAGGGAGGGAGGATTAGTACGAGGGGGGGGGGGGGGGGGGGCAGCCGCCGCGGGAGCTCTGGGCGCCGCCCAGGCCTCCCACCCCTCCTGTCCCTGCGGGCTGGAGAAGCGGGCCCCGAAGCCCTGCGGGGGCGCATCGGCCCACCTGGAGCCCCACAGGGGCGCGGACTCCGAGGCCCTTCTTCTCTTCGTGGTGGTCGCCGCTCGTCCCCCCTCTCTCCTGGCCTCCGCCTCCTCCTCTTCCTCCTCCTCCTCCTCCTCCTCCTCCTCCTCCTCCTCCATCCCTCCCTCCCTCCCTCCCTCCCTCCCTCCTCCTCCTCCGCCTCCTCCTCCGCCTCCTCCTCCTCCTCCGCCTCCTCCTCCTCCGCCTCCTCCTCCTCTTCCTCCTCTTCCTCCTCCTCCTCCTCCTCCTGGCCCTGGCCCTGGCCCTGGCCCAGCCGCCGTGCTCCCCCCCTGGCCCTGGAGCTCGGAGCGCCTGCTGTTCGTGGCGGCCGTCGTTCAACCGTCCTCCCCCGGGCCTACCCCCGGCCCTGGCCCCGGGCACCCTCGCTGCCTGATGGTGCAAGAGCCAGGGCACACGTGCCGCTTCTCTCTGCGCAGGACTCTCTGCGAATGCGGTGGTCACAGTCATCGGCCTGACCTAAGGAACGATACATAGGGAACGAAGCCCCTTCTTCCAAGGAGTAAACGCATAAGGAACGATGAACAAATAATACATAACGCGTAGGGAACGACAAATAACGCATGCAAGCCTAAGGAACGACCGAGCCCCTTTTGAAAAGTAAGCGTTCCTTACTCAAGCCGCTCAATGCATATCAACGCGTGTGAAGCGCATTCTGCCGGGTGACGGGGCGAATCGATACAACCCCGACTAACGGACGAAGGAACGACCGCCGCTGCGGACACCGTCCGGGCCTAGCTAATTAAGACCAGGTGGGCGAGGCCGTGGCCTCAGGACTCTGGTGTGTCTGAACAACCATGGCTAGTATTGCGTGACATTTTCTGAAAGATGATCGATCGTGCAGAAAATCAGCCACATACGCGAAGGGGTACTGTGAAGCTGAAGCTCGTCCTGGGTATGAGGAGTGGAATATGATCTTCGCTCAGAGAAGCCATCTGTGTTGCAATCCGCCGACCCCGTGGGGTCACGGCCTGTGAGATGCTTCCCCCTCCCCAAACCCTCCCCCGGGAGCCCAGTCCGGCCGGTCTGGACTGGAGGGGGTGTGGGGGGGGGGGGCAAAAGTGCCGGCCGCACCCTTGGAGACTCAGGGGGCTCCCAAAACGGGACAAGAGGGCCCCCAAAGGCACGGGCTACGAGTCGCCAAAGATCGCTCCAAGACGCCCAAGATTGCCTCCAGACGGCCCCAGAGGCCCCCAAGACGCCCCAAGAAGCCACCAAGAGGCGTCCCAAGAGGCCCTCAAAAAGCAAAATTCGTTTCAGTCCCAAGGGAACACGCATGTCTTCAACATATTCGCATCCTCGGCTTTCACGAGGCCCACAACGGCCCAAGAAGCCATCGACCCAAGATAGCCTACGAGGCCCCCAAGAGGGCTCCAAGACGGCCCGAGAGGGCCCCAAGACGGCCCCAGAAGCCTCCAAAACGGCCCAGGAGGGTCCTAAGAGGAGGCCCAGAGGGGGAACCCGAATGGACATTTCGTGCACTCGGCCCGGACAAAAACCTGAGGAGGCGCCAAGAGGTCCCCAAGAGCCCCCGAGAGGCTCAAAACAGACCCCTAGAGGCCTCAACACGGCTTCCAAGAGGACTCAAGCATGCTGCCAGGAGAGCCCAGAGAAGCCCAAGAGCAGAGCCGCGATCCGCCAACCGCCCCCGACGAAATCCCAAGAAGCGGAAATCCCGAGATGCCCCAGAAATCGCGCGCGTTCCGCAGACTCCGTTTTTCACTCTGACTGCCGCCTCAAGGGGGTCGGCGGTGCGGCGCCGGCCAATGAGTCTGTGCACGGGGAGAGGCGACAACCGAGGCAACTTGGGAGTCCCGAAACGGTGCGGTGAAAGACCGTGCGGTGACCTCGAAACCCTCCAAGACCTCACCGCACGGTCCGTCAGCGCACGGTTTTGGGACCTCGGAGGCCCCAATCGCCCGAGACGTCCTCGGAAAACGACCCGAGTCCCAAAACCGTGCGGTGACCCCGAATCCCCACCGACTCACCGCACGGTGTGGTCACCGCCCCGTTTGGGGCCCCCCGAGGCAACGGGCGGCCACCCGTCGGACACCGGGAAAACCCAGCCAACGCACGGGGTGGCGACCACGAAGCGGGGGGAAAGGGCAGCCACGGGGCTCTCGAATCTGGCACGCCCAGCCGACGCGCGAGGCGGCAACGAGGCGGCGACGGGGAGCCCCCTGGGGCCCTGGGGAAACCAAGCGGCACCGATACCGCTACTCCCCCGACCTCTCCTGCCGTGCGTTCCGACCAGGATCTTGAGGCGAATCCAGCGGTGGCGACGAAGGCCGCCCAGGAGGCCCCCAAAAAGGGGAACACGAGGGAACGGGCAGCAGGATGAGTACCTCGCCCTCCCCCGAAGAACTGCGAGGACCTCTCGGGCGAAAAGGGCCAAGCCACCGCTCGCGCGGCATCTCGGAGCCCAGAAAAGTGACGAGATTCTACGCGGAACGGGACGGACCGCCTCTCGAGCGAGCGGAGCGGTATGAGTACCTTTAGGTCGGGCATGTCCCCCTACAGGCGGAATTTAGACGAAACATACAGCATAGTCAAAACATAATCAAAAAATGATCAACAATGGTAAAACAAATCGTCCCCATACTTTTTTTGAATATTCCTCCTGTAGAGGAGCACGTCCGACTTAAGGGCACCTCGTCCTCCCCTGACCACTGGGAGAAAACCCAAAGTGAGGAGGCAAACTCTATACACCGACGTTTTTTTTCCGGCCCCGCATTGACATTCGCACAAGAAAACGGATATTGGTGTATACGGGATCCTGGTGTATACGTTTTGCGCTGCTTCCCCGGGAAAACGGGGAAACAAGTATACACCACATCACCCCGACGTCGTCCCTGGCCCTCAAAAACTCCTGGGATTGCAAAACGGCCCGCCACTGGTAATGTATACAGTGCGGGCGCGGCCGCAAGAAACCCTCGCAAGAACCCCAACCCTGAGAACCCGTGCGCGAGGTGCACCTGGGGGGCAACCTGGAGCACCCTGAACGCAGCAGCTCCTCCACCGGCTGCGGGAAGCCACCGCGCCGCGCGAGGAGCGAAGAAACCAGGGGCACCCTGACGAAAAGCATGCGGCTTCTCGATGCTCGTCCCCACTGTTATTACGCTCCAGTTCCCCACAGAGCAGCCCAGGGATCAGCTACACGCAAGAGTGACCCTGGGTAAGAGTGACCTTTGGTGCGCGGCTTTCTGGGGGCCGCGGGGGGACCAAACCTGGGCGCGCAAGCCGCTGCTCCTGCTTCGTTTTCAGCCACCTGGGGACCCATCTGTGCCCGCACCAACGGTCACTCCAGCGAAAGGTCACTCTTACGTCCAGTCGAAAGAGGCGGCAGCGAGACGGCGACGGGCGGCCGGCGGCGGCGGCCCGGCGGACCCAGCCAGCGCGCGGGGCGGCGACTGGGTGGCGGCGAGGCGGCCACTGGGCGGACGTCTGGGACACCCACGGCTTGGGCAGTGGTCGTGGGCGGCGTCCGACACGAGCAACACCGATCGATCAAGAGCGGAGCGCGAGAGCTTCGAGACACGTGCGCCTTCGGAGAGCACCGCATCTGGCGAGCAAGGGCACAGCACTCCCCAGTCTTCCCGGCCACAAGACATGGGCTTCACATGGGGAGTCCGGGGCCCAAGACGCAGGCGCACGCCAAACTATGGAAAACAGCTGGTCCGAGCAGGCAACTGGGTCCTACCACGCATGCGTGGAAGAAACAAACCGGGAGACAACATAGATGATGAGGACCAAGGAATATGCACACGACTCAAGTGCATTGGGGTTAATTTTGATAAGGCTAATTTCTTTCTGGGCTCCTGGGAAGCCCCGCACATGCACGTACATGCCGCACAGTCGAATGCACATGGCCATGCAACTCTGTAACAGGCTCAACATCATGGCCGCACATGCACGCACATGTCACACAGTCCGATGCACAGCCAGATGCAATCTGGAAACAATCCGAAAATATGACAGCACATGCTCGTAGAGTCGAATATTCGGGAAGGCAGGAACACATGCAGACGAATAATAATGAAGGCAAGATGAGGGAGGAATGAGGGAGGGAGCGAGGGAGCGGGTGCGGGAAGGATGGATGGGAGGGCTGCGTGGGTGGCGGATAGGATGGAGGAAAGGGCAACATATAGCCAACACCCCCAGACAGCGTTGTCAGAGCGAAATTGGCCAGACCGACTCATGGAAACCAACTGGTACCGATACCGCTACTCCCCGGACCTCTCCCGGCGTGCGTTCTGACCAGGATCTCGAGGCGAATCCAGCGGTGGCGACGAGCCTCCAAGGAGGTCCCAAAAAGGGAAAACGAGGAAACGGGCAGCAGGATGGGTACCGCTTCCTCCCCTGAAGAATTGCGGACGTCTCAAGCGAGGGGCCAGGCCACCTTCCGCGCGGCATCTCGGAGCCCAGAAGGGTGATATTCTACGCGGATCGGGATGCACCGCCTCTCGATCAAGCGGAGGGCACGGTGAAGCTTGAGTGAACCCACGCGCTCGAGACTCTGGACGAGGAGGGTAGAGTTAGGTCGGGCATGTCCCCCTACAAGCGGATTTCGGACGAAACATTAAAAATACACAAAACATACAAAAACTATCAAAGTGATTAAGAATGTCCCCAGACTATGTTTCGCAACTTTTGAGTATTCCTCCTGTAGAGGGACACGCCCGACATAAGGGTAGAGAGAGGGGGTAGGAAGAGGGATGGGTGAATGAGAAAGAAGAGTGCAGGGGGGGAGGGAGGGGGGGATGGAAGGACTGAGGGGGGGAGAGCTGGAAGGACGGGCGGATGGTCAGAACACAGCCACCGACCAGAGAGGCTGGATGCCCAGAAGCTGGATCGCACCCGCTGTTCAAACCCGTCAAACCCGCCATAAGACAACCCACCTGAGAAGATGAGATTGATGGGCTGGCCGGCAGGATGGATGGACGGACGGAGGCGAGGGTGGGAAGAGAGAAGAGAGCTGGGAGATGGATGGCCGAGAAGAAGTCAGAGAGGGAGGGCAGGGAGGAGAGGGAAGAGAGTTGGCTGGACGGCTGGGCTCATGGGTGGATGCATGCCCCTCCCTCCCTCGCCCGATTGCACGCCGCACTGGGGGGCCTCGAGGGCCTTCGTGTCACCCAGGCCGCCGAAAGGGCTTCCGCCCAGTCTGGCCACCCTCTCGAGACGGCGGTGCGCATGGTGTGCCGCCACGAAGGAGCGCGGCGCCAGGCCACCTGGCAGGCTTGAAGCAGGCGGCACAGACGCGCCGGAAGGGCAGGAGAGGGGCGTATAGAGGGGCGACACAAGACCGCAGCGGAGGACGCACGGGAGAGGAGAGGAGTGGACAGGGGAGCGAGGAGACATGAGGTGAGGGGAACGAGGAGAGGAGAGAAGTGGTGAAAGGATAGGAGATCAGGAGAGGATGGGCGAGAGGGGGAGGAGGGATGAGATGATTGGAGCGGGGAGGAGAGGACAGGAGAGCAGAAGACAATGTCCGCCACCTTGCCGCGAGGCTATGAGTGGAGTGACAGGAGGGCCCGTGACTGAGGGGCAACGTTAAGGGGGGACAAGCTCAGGGGGGGGGAACATTTAGATAGAATAGGCGGTGTATACATATATCCAGATATCGCACTACATGGTATTCCGTGTGCGTTGCCGTGCGTTGCTTTCTATTGCGTTGCATTTCATTGATTTGCGTTTCAGTGTGTTGATTGCTTTGCATTGCATTGCTTTGCATTGCCTTGCGTTGCTTCGCATGCCTTTACGTTGGCGGGATTTGCATTGCTTCGCATTGCTATATATTGCACTGCATTGATTGCATTGCTATTGCGCTGCATTGCGCTGCATTACATTATGCCTAGCTCACATTACATGCATCACATGGACTTTACCACATTGATTGCACCACCTAGATGTTACCTCATATATTGCAAGAAGCCACTGTGATGGGTCCACGCCGGCCACAGGGTTGGTTCGTTTATCCGACTCCCTGTCCATGCTCACCATGCTCCACATTACGTTCCTCTCCTCCTCCTCCTCCTCCTCCTCCTCCTCCTCCTCCTCATTGTGTTCCTCCATCTCCTCCTCCGCATGCGTTTCCTGCTCCTCCTCCTTCTCATTGTGTTCCTCCATCTCCTCCTCCGCATGCGCTTCCTCCTGCTCCTCCTCCTCCTCCTCCTCCTCCTGCGCTTCCTCCTCGTCGTTCTCCTCCTCCTGCCCGTCCTCCGCACCCTCTCCCTTTTGTTCCTCCTCCCCCGTCCTTCTTTTTTCCTTCGGCCTCGGCAGAAGGGCTCTCCCCCGCCGACCGCGGCGCAGTTACCAAAATCGCCTGTAGAAGACAGGAGGGGGAGGAGGAGGAGGAGGAGGAGGAGGAGGAGGAGGAGGAGGACGACGACAAAGAAGAAGGGTGATGACAGAGGAGGCGGAAGGCGCGACGAGGAGAAGCGGAGAGGAGGAGCAGGAGAGAGGAGGACGTCCAGGATATCCGCCATCACGCAACGATAACAAAAAACATACGAATCAGCACTTCGGTAACAGGCCGCGAGATAGGCGATCCAAACTCGCGCCTGGCCTTGGTGTCAAATTGGGACGGCATGGCCTTCCAAAGCCCCTTGGTTGGGCCTGGCCACAGAACCCGCACGATCCACAGAACCACACTCCAAAGGATTGGGATGAAACAAGACATGGGAGGGGTGCGTCCATCCGCCTGCCAAGTGTACATTTCATCCCTGAGGGAACTCTGCATAACTTACAACTGACAGGCTGGAGAACGAGGCGTTCACTTTTTAGCCACTGGATTCATGTTTCTTCGGAACTGACCCGCGGCACACAACACAAGATCTACCGCAATTGGCCAGAGTGTGGGCAGGCGCGAGGCGCGTGGCAACGAGCGGATGAGGAGGCCGAGGAGGGGCAAAACTGGGCTCGGCCCTGATCTGCTCTGCGAATTCCCGCGAGACGTTGATGGGCTCCAGTCCGATCCCCTGGAGCCTCTTGCGAACGAAAAGGGCCTTGTGCTAGGTCGGGCGTGTCCCCCATAGAGCGGCAGATTGGGACGAAAGATGAAAAAAAGACGCAAGGAATGCTCAAACAGTGCTCCAAAACATAATCCCCCGACTATTATTTTATACTGCTTTGGAATATTCCCCCTGTTGAGGGACGTGCCCGACTTGAGCCTCGTGCTCGATACCACGAAGCCCGACGCGATCAGCCTGGGAGAGGCCGCCCCGCGGTCGCGCGGCGGCCTCTCCTGCCAATCTCGTCCGCGCAAACGCGCTCCCTTGGCTGAGCCACGACGGCCAAGCCTGCTCCTCCTCCTCCTCCTCCTCCTCCTCCTCCTCCTCCTCCTCCTCCTCCTCCTCCTCCTGCCCCGGCGGACGAGTGAGGTGGGACTCTGCTCTTCGGGGGCGCGCAGGCATTGCTGATGCTGATGATGCTGATGATGATGCTGCTGCTGATGATGACGATTATGATGATGTTGTTCATGATGATGATGCTGATGACGATGATGATGACGATGATGACGACGGCGACGACGACGGATCATGGCCAACCACCGCCTTCTACGTTCCCCTTTTGAACGCGCGGTCGCCAAATCCATGGATCGGGGGAGGTGCCCTCACCAAGATGCGGCCGGTGCCGCCTCGTTCGGCGGCGGAGATCCGCGATTCCCCATGGAAAGGGGACCCGTCGCTAATCCACGCCCCCTTAATCCATGTTTGCGATCGCCTGAGACTTACTATGGTATGGGCAGATGGCCGAGATTGAGCATCGATGAAAACGCCGATGCCACGCCATACGTCCGCCCGGGGGTCCAGACTGGTGCCTACAGCTTGACGCACCACCCTCGAACTACTTCGGCGCAGTTGGTGACATAGACACACACACACACAATCCAACCTACCGAGAATCTGAGAGCCCACTCGAAAGCCCTGAGCACCCCAAAGGGCACTGTTTGAGAGGGTCCCGTCAGGGCCCCCAGCAGGTGGGGGCTCAAAGAAAAAGGGGAGCAGGAGTTAAACGCAACGGTGGCGAGGCCTACCCTCCGAAGCCTATTATGGTTAGTGTCTTGTCCTCACGAGGCGTCCCCAAGACGATATTTCATGGCAAAAAACGGCCCAGGCAGGCACCCAGGACAGACTCCGAAGGCGCCAGACTGCCGAATAGTGCCCTAAGATGGCCCAAGGAGCTCCCAAGAGACCCCAGGATGCCCCTTAAGAGGCCTCCAGGATGCCCCCGAGAGGCCCCCAAGAGGCGCCAAGAGAGGAGGGAACAAGAGGAAGGGAGGAAGACGACGACGAGCATGAGGAGAGACGATCCGGCACGACGCGGAGGGGCGTGTCACATGTTACGGACCTCTCAAGCTTTGGGACACACGTTGTCGCAGATATTGCTCCTCCAACAACTGCCACACGTGTTGCTGGGCTGCCACAACAACGGGGCATGCCGCAGGTAGCCAGAGAAGAGGAGACGGGGAGGATTGGAAGGAAGGAGGGAGCACGACCTTCCTCTCCCGAACCGCTGACGCGCAGCAAAACCACCCGACAGACCCAGGAACCTCGGAACAAGGCACACCCTGCCTCCCATCGACGACGGCGACGACGGCGGCGGCAGCAGCAGAAGCGGCGGCAACAAAGGCGGCGGTGGCGGCGGCGACGACGACAACCACCACAACGACGACGAAGGCCACCACCCCAACCACGACGACAACCCGGTGACGACGACCATGGTGACGACAACGACGACGACGACGACGTCGGCCACACCGGGAACGAAGACGACGACTGCCACCACCTCCTCGACGGAGGCCGCATCGGCGGCGGCGGCGGCGACCTCGACGACGACGACGACCCCTCCGCGCGGCCAGAGGGCGCGAGAGCGCGCGCGCGCCTGCCCAGGCCAGGCCCGTGCAGGCTGCGGCGGCCTGGGCCCGCCCCCCCCACGGGGGGGGGGCGCGGGAGGAGCGCGCGGGGGGGGGACCCGCTGCTGGCTCGTCCCGGCGCCTCGCCCCGCCCGCCCGCCGCCGGGCACCCGAAGGCGTCGTCGTCGGAGGAGGGGGGGGGGCAGCGACGACAGCGACGACGAGGCAGCTGTGGGAAGAGAGGGCCGCGTGGAGGAGGCGGAGGAGGACGAAGAGGCACAGGACGAGGAGGAGGAGGAGGAGGAGGAGGAGGAGGAGGAGGAGGAGGAGGAGGAGGAGGGGCCAAATGATAAATCGAATCATCTGGGACATGGGAACACGGCGAAACATAAAGGAGGGGCACGAATCCTCCCCCACTTTCCTGCCCTTCCTCCCTCCCTCCCCTCCCTGCCCCCCTCCACCTCTCCAACCATCATCCTTCCCTGTATATTTGAGGCGATACCCCTTCAGACTTCAGATCTGGGCGCAAATTGGGCCTGCGGGGGGTTTGACTGCCCCTCACCAGGCGTCTCCTGGCTTGGATGCAAAGCGTGGTGCGCGACCGATGCTGAACAGGTGACGCAGGTAGCGGGACAGCGGATGGGCGGCGGGGGGCCCAGGGGCAAAAGGAAAGGGGACAGGACAGGACGGGACGCCGACAGCCTTCCCAGAGGACGGCCCGTATAATGAGAGCACGTCGGCGGCGCAGGCGCACACGGGACAGACGGAGGAGGGAGGTGTGGGAGGGGGGAGGTGCGCGCGGGAGCGCACGGAGAGGGGGCGGGGCTCTCTCCCTGGGGCTGGCAGGGGCTTCCCAGGGCCGGCAACCGCCCGAACCCTGTACTCGCGGCCGACGCCTTCACGGCGCCGGGGCGCCCTGGAATCGCCGAGCAGCGACGGGGGCGGCACCGCCGAGCGACGATGGAGGGGGCAGAAAGGCCGATACCCCGAGACCGCGCCCCGAGGCCCTCCGAAACCAGAGACTGATAATTATTTATTTATATATAAATATATATATATATATATATATAAAATGTATATATATACATATATGTGTATATGTATATATGTGTGTATCTACATATATATATATATGATATCTAAGTATATATGTATATATATATATATATATACAAATATACATATGCACACCCTTTTGTCGCGTTTTCTTCGCGGCCCCGGGCGTTGCGGGAACGCCGAACAACGAGGGGGGATGCGGAAGAGGCGATACCCTGAGACCGCGCTCCCCCCCCCCCCCCTCGGGAAGTCCCAGGGGGCCTGCGGTGCCCACGAAGAGCCCGCCCCAACGAAAACAACGACCTGGGTCCTCGATCGCTCGAGGGCGGGGGAGGGGACATCGATCCCGAAGCGCTGCGTCTCCTCGACCAGACCTGGCGGAACAAAGTGTCTCTCTGCGCGCCAATTGCCAATTGCCCCACCGCGTGACCGAAGGAAACCACAAGCGGGCGGCGCCACCGACGCAATCAGCTGGCCTCAAGAACGCGCAAGAGGCGATCGCGATCGTTCGCGGTCGATCAGGGCGGCCATCCTCCAGCGCCTCCCCCAGCTCGAACAAATGTCGGCCGCGCGGAAGGGTTTCGCCAACGGTTGCCGTAACTTGTTCAAAGAGCATTTGGCGAGCGAGCGTCCGACGCTCGTGAGCACGCGCGCACCGTGGGGATATGAGGTGGGTAGGCCCTGGCGCGCGCGGGAAGTCTGTGCGAGCGAAAGCTCTGGGGGCGAATGTGCGGGGGGGGGAGGGAGACGGCAGGAAGGGGCGGACTCTCGCGCCCAACTCCCTCAAAGGCGGCAAGCTTGGAAACCGCCCTCGCCACCCACCCCCCATTGTTGGCCGACAGAATGGCCTTAGCTTTGCAAGCATCTCGGACTTCACTCGGCGCTCGAATGCTATCATGTACCCGCTTGGCCCCAGTCGGCGGCCTCGTCGTGCCAATCCTGCCGACGGGTCGTCGGACGACGTTGCTCGACGCGCAAGTGGGCGCCGTAACCCTCGACCTGTCGCAGGGGCAGCTGCTCGGGCCCTCGCTCTTTTCCCGCCGACGCCAGATCTCGGACCGGGAGCGACGAGCGCTGCGGCGCGCGCGTTGCCCGCGCAGCTGCTCGCCCTCGAGTGCGCCATGCGAATCCAGGAAGGAAGGCGGCCCCTGGGGCCGCGGGCTGCATCGCTCGCAACAAAGATCACAGCGGCGCATGTCTTGGCGCAGATCGCGCATGGAGCCGCGCGTGAACGACAAAGTCCTTAATTCAACAGGACAGACGGATGCGACGGCCCAGGCAAATGCCTGGGAAGAGAGATCGAGATGCTGGTTCATGCAGCTGCCAACCCAATGAAGTGGCATGTCGTGGTGGCTGGCCCACTGCCTAGCCAGCGCCCAAGCGCCGCGGAACGGCATGGGGCGCCGCCGGCAGCCTCTCGGCACAGAGGAGGAGAGGGGCTCTGCAGCGGCACGAGGAAGCGAAGCATGATAGGAAGAGCCAAGTGCGCCTGCCATGACCTCTTCTTTCAAGCCACCGGCCGCGCGTCGATGCGGGAGCGTGCCAGGGTAACTGCTGCGCGCCATGTGTTCGCAAATTCACTGTCGAGCTCATATTCCCGCTGCCTGCGTTGCGGGCATTGGCCGCCTGCTACCGCGCTCCTTGAATATCCTCGCTCGACAGCCAAAGTCCCCGAGAGGCTCTTGAGGGGTGGGGCCTCTTTGCAGCTGGGGGGCTCTAGTGCGACGATCGGCCTTGTCCCGTCGCCAAATTTCGATGACCCTGCGCAGCCAAGCAGCAATGGCGCGCGGCTGAAGAACGGTCGCCGATACCCCCCCCATGGCGGCCCCAACGCGGATCCAACGCCTCGGGGCAGCGACCGCGCGCGCCGCGAGAATCCCTCGGACGCCCGGCCCAAGGGCCCCCGTGACTGGCCAAGCGGTCGGTCTCCGCGGCGGGGCCGTGCTCCGGCGCGCGGCCCGGGGGATGTTTTATCTTGCGCCGCCAGCAATCGCGCGCAGAGGCTCAACATTCAGCTCATGGGCCGTCGCAGGATGGGGCTGTCGCCATCGAGGGCATCGGCGCGGAGCCCCGCCGCTGAGATGTCGAGCCTTAACCTGCGCGGCCCCGGCGCGCCGCAGGTCGCCGCAATCAGTTTCGCGGGCTGCACGCCCGCATTCGACGCGCGCAAGCGAGTCGGTCTGCGCCGCGTGGCGCAGTCGACCCAGCTTGACCCGATGGCCCCGGGAATGGAACTCTTGCGCGCGCGCGCCGAGAGCAGGGCCCGCGCGGGACTTCCTGGCGGGGCAAACGCGGCAACTCAGAGCCGACGTGTAAATCCCGAGCCTCTGTTCATTCGAAACACCCGCGATGCGATACCGACGCAACTTTCCGACTAACCAGGTTCGGAACTCGCCCGGCGACGCGGCGACGCGACCCCTGCCGCGGCGGCGCTCAAGCGAACGCCAGCAGGATCGGCGCGTGGCGAAGGAATGGATTTCCATCGACAATTTCTGACATCTGCCTCGCGCCCGACGCGCTGCTTGCAGACCCCGCCCACGACGAACCCTCGCACGGAAATGACAAATAGGGAAATAAAAGCAACCATATCCTCGGGCCACGCCGAGATAAGCTGCAATATGGGTGCTGCAAAATTGCGCGCAGGCCGAACGGCCTTGGGGCCTCAAGGCCTGGAGACATCCTCATTCACATTCAAAGCACGCGGGCCCCGATAACACCCCACTAGGGGCCCGCGCTAAAGAAAAGGCCCGCGGCCCTAACCACCCGCGTCAACTCGTCGCGCCCAACGTGCTCGACGGCATTCTAAAAGGTAAAAGGAAAGACGAGCTCGCTGGAGAAAGTCAGCCTGCATCCCACTCTCCGGCGGCTGGGGCCCAAGCGGGCTCGTCGTTTCTTCGCCCAGCGGTGGGCCACCAGTGCGAAGTTGACCTCCATCGCTGGCAATCTTCCAAGATGAGCTCACACAATGGACCCTGGATTATGTGGAGCATGCGAATTAGAGGCATCGGCCAAGAGCCCGCCTCGCGCTCGCGGAAGGAGACGAGCTTGACCCAGCTGATGGGCCAGCAGCGATCTCTCTCTTTTTTGTTGATATTGTGTCCCATAGATATCTCTCTCTCTCTCTCTCTCTTGCCCATTCTCTCTCTCTCTCTCTCTCTCTCTCTCTCTCTCTCTCTCTCTCTCTCTCTCTCTCTCTCTCTCTCTCCCTCCCTCTCTCCCTCTCTGTCTCCTTTTCGCGTTATTACATTTTTTGTGCGTTTGTTTCCTCTCTCTCTCTCGTCATCTGTTTTTATGTGTTGTTGTTCTCTCTCTCTCTCTCTCTCTCTCTCTCTCTCTCTCTCTCTCTCTCTCTCTCTCTCTCTCTCCCTTTCTCCGTCTCTCTTGTTTGTATTTGTTATCTCTATGTATCTCTGTCTTTCCCTTTCTCCTCTCTTGATTTCTCTTTGTTTATTGTGTTATCTCTCTCTCTCTCTCTCTCTCTCTCTCCCTCTCTCACTCTCACTCTCTCTCTCTCTCTCTCTCTCTCTCTCTCTCTCTCTCTTGTGTTTCTCTCTTCTCTCTCTCTCACACGCACTCTTTTTCTTTATTTATCTCTCTCTCTCTCTCTCTCTCTCTCTCTCTCTCTCTCTCTCTCTCTCTCTCTCTCTCTCTCTCTCTCTCTCTCTTCTCTCTCTCTCTCTCTCTCTCTATCTCTCTCTCTCTCTCTCTCTCTCTTCTCTCTCTCTCTCTCTCTCTCTCTCTCTCTCTCTCTCTCTCTCTCTCTCTCTCTCTCTCTCTCTCTCTCTCTCTCTCTCTCTCTCTCTCTCTCTCTCTCTCTCTCTCTCCTCTCTCTCTCTCTCTCTCTCTCTCTCTCTCTCTCTCTCTCTCTCTCTCTCTCTCTCTCGTCTCTCTCTCTCTCTCTCTCTCTCTCTCTCTCTCTCTCTCTCTCTCTCTCTCTCTCTCTCTCTCTCTCTCTCTCTCTCTCTCTCTCTTTCTCCCCCGTCCCTGTTTCTCCCCTCTCGCAGCCCCGTCTCCTCCGAAATCGAAGCGGGGCGTCGCCCGAGGGAACCGTTGGCTGGCGAGCTTGGGCCCCGAACTCCCGCCCTTGGAACGCGCGGAAAAAAAGCTGCGCCCCCTTGCGCGCCGCGGCCGCTGACCACTTCTGCGCCCCCCCGCCAGTCGGGGGGCCCGCCGCGCCGCGCTGCGCGCGGCGACCGCGGCCTTTCCGGCAAGCTCGCGCGGCGTGGCGCGAGCGCGCGACGCGGGCGCCGGCCGCGGGCGAGCCCCGGGGGCCCGCCGGCCCGGCACGGCGCCCAGGGCCGCCCCGCGAGACAGACAGCGCCAGCGCGCGCGCGGAAGGGGGAAGGCAGGCCCCCAATCGCCCCGAGCACCTAGCCAGGAGACGCCCCCGCGCCGGGACGGGGCACATCCTGGGACGGGGCGGAGATTTGACGAACGGCGCGGCGCCCCCAGCTCTGCCGACGCACTTCCTCCGGCAAGCCGGCCTCCACAATGTCGCGCTGAGCCAGGTGAACCCATGGCCCCTCCCTGGCGCCGACGTCGGTTCGCGCGTGCTGCGAGCCGCGAAGATCCTGACGCACGTCCCGCCGCGGTCGCGGGCCCTGGCGCAGGCGCCCGACTGATGCGTCGACGGCGAAACGCCGCTGCGAAGATGCAGAACAGCCTGGAAGCGTGACCAGCGCAGGGCAGTGCGGGGCCATAGCCGCGCCTGCGAGCATTTCAATCGCGACGCCATGCTTGAATTAGCTGGACATGACGTGGCAATCCAGCAACCGACCAACACCCTTGGGATTGTTCGTAGAAGCTGGGCATGTCGGGGCAATCGTCGTCACGTCGCCGTCATACAGCTGCAACCTGGCCCGTGACGCATCTACAGGCATCGCGCCTGAGGCATGCAAGGCCAACGCTCGACCCTCGACAAGGGACCTCGGAATCACCTCGATAACCGAAAGACATGCGTGATAGGCACCAACTGCACCAGACCACTCGTGCCTCCTTCACTGCGACCCTGGCTTACGGAAAATGGCTTACCGTCTGTCAGTCTGGGAATTGCCCAGGTGAGCCTCCTGGACGGAAGCTCTTTGCGGCGTGAGAGCCTTGCTATGCTGCAACAGGAACTTGTGTCAAACTGCCAACGAGCCTCGTGGCAGCAGGTGCACCTCTGACCTGCCTGACGATGTCAAGTACAGGCTCGTTCTTGACTCCACGCTGCTCGACCACATGATTGACAAACATGGCTACAATTTTCTGTGCTGCTGCCAGACAATCCAGTAGCTCATCACGTACCGCCTTTGCCCGCGTCAGGGCTGCTGCAGCGTCCGCCTGTGCACGTTCGGCGGCTGAGCCGCGGCGGCGGCTGCCGCTGCGGCGGCCTCCGCTCCACCGCCAGCACCTCCTGCGGGAGCTGGAGCGGCCGCCGCGGCAAGGGGGGCGCCGACGGGAAAGCCTCCACCGTCGCCTGCGCTCCCTCCCCTCTCGGCCGCAGAAGGAGGCATGGGGTCACCATCATCATCACCATCACCATCACCATCACCATCACCATCATCATCATCATCATCATCATCATCATCATCATCATCATCATCATCATCATCATCATCATCATCATCATCATCATCATCATCATCAGCTTCATCATCAGCTTCATCATCAGCATCATCATCATCAACATCATCATCATGACGAGGACCACCACAATAAGACTAAGTTGGAGCAGTCTGAGCAGAGGACACATCCTTGAGCTTCACATTCTGCCCAACCTGTCGACAAGCCCCTTCTACTGCGCAAGCGGGTCATCGACGGGACGTGGCGCCATTGCTGAATAGGCTCTGGCCGCAAGCGCCGCCCCCTCTCCACGCGCCGTTTTAGCCGCTTGGCCGCGTGCACCACTGCCCTGGGTGCACTTTGCACTTGGCCGCGCGTATCCAGCCAATTCAGTTTTACACTTGGCCGCGTGCGACACTGCCTTGCGTGTTGCGTCCTGTGCCTGTCGTAATTTCGCGGGGGTTCTCCACATTTGTCATGCAAAATGTTCTGCTCGAGCCGGGCAAACTTGGCCGACGCCATGGGCTTGCTTGACAAAAGAGCGCGCTGGGTTGCCACCGCTCGAGCCACGTAACGTCGTGCCAATTTAGCGTTGTCCTGCTCAAAGTCTGCTGGGTGCATCTTGGCATACTACGCCTTGACAGACTCCTCGGGAAGAAAGCTGGGCATCTGAGCTCGTCCGCCCGAGCACCGAGATCGCGAGTGGACCCTGAATGCCTGGACCGTCGGGTCCCCGCAATCTTCCCGCAGACCTTGCAAGTGCGACGCCACTCGTAGTTGCACTTAAACCCACACTTCCGATGACCACACTGTCATGTCTTGAAAACCCCACCCTCGCGAGGAGACAAAACAAGGACCTGCGGCCGATATCGCCTGAGAACAATGGCGCGCAAAATAAACAGGGATACGTAACCACACTGCAGTGTGAGAAGGTTTTGACAGTGGTGGGGGCCGCCCCTCCCCAGCGCCAAGTACTCGAAGGGCTCTGGGCCTCATGCTACGGACTTGAGCCACAATATGTATGGTTGCTCCCCCTCCTCCTCCTCTTCCTCGTCCTCCTTCTCGTCTTGTTTCTCTTCGCCTCCTCCTCCTCCTCTCCAGCTTCGTCCTGTTTCTCCTCGCCTCCTTCTACTCCTTCTACTCCTTCTACTCCTCCTCCTCCTCCTCCTTTTCTTCCTCCTCCTCCTCTTCCTCCTCCTCCTCCTCCTCCTCCTCCTCCTCCTCCTCCTCCTCCCCCCCCTCCTCCTCATTCTGCTCCACTCCCCCCGCCCCACCGCTTGCCCCTCCTGTCCGACTCCCCTGCCCCTCCTCCACCACCCCCTTCCGGGGCCCCCGAGAAGGTGTGGTGACCACGCCGCGTGGTGAGTCCGCGGGGATCCGGGGTCACCGCACGGTTTCGGGGCTCGGGTCGCTTTCCGAGGACGTCTCGGGCGACCGGGGACCACCCGGTTCCCAGAGCCGTGCGGTGAGGTCGCCGGGGATTCCGACGCGCGGTCCGTCACCCTTAGGAGGCAACTGCTGGGAGGTTTTCGTCGGAAAGATTAAGGAGGATTAAGCCCCATTTGGGAGCTGTTACGCCGGAATGGGCCTCGGATTAAGCGGGATTAAGCGGGATTAAACGGGATTAAGCGGGATTAAGCGGGATTTAGCTGGATTAAACCGAATTTCGGACCAGGGCGAAAACAGAATTTGACCTCCCAGGAGTTGCATCTGAATCACCCCACTCGGTGCTGGGGGCCCCGCCTCCTCTGGGAGGGGCGGGGGGGAGCGAGGGACAGCCCCGGCGCCGTCCGATCCCGCCCCCGCTCGCCAGGGCGGGCGCCGCGGCCCGCGGGCGGCGCGTGCGCGCCATCGCGGCGGCGGCGGCCAAAGTCCGCCGCTTGCTCGTGGCCGAGCCTGGAACTGCGGGAGGCGGGCGGCTGCGAAAGGGCCCCCCTCGGATCTGGGAGACGTGAAGCTCGGGATGGGGGGAACCAGGCTGGCCTGACGGGGCCGGCAGGGAATCAAAAAGAGCCCATCTGAAAATTGGCGCGAAATCACGCTGCAAACATCCCGCGGAAATTGCACCGTCAAAATCCAGGAAGGGCTCGTCACAAAGCGTGGGCAAACCCGAGTCTTACGTGTCCCCGATCCGACCCTGCGCGATCACTCCGCGCCCGGGTAATGAACATCGCAGATCGGGGTGCTGGTAAATCTGACAGGAGCGTGGAGGGTGCGAAGCGTGAACATGGCGCAGATGGTGGATGTGCCAGCCAACGAGGGCAAGTGGAAGTAAGAACAATGGTGAGGGGTTAAGTGCAGGTGAGGATCAGCAGGAGAGGTAGAAACAGAGAGAAAGAGAGAGAGAGAAAGAGGCTAAGCGAAAGTGAAGGTCAGAATGGGGATAAGGATGCAGATGATAAGGAGGGTGAAAGTGAGTGAAATTGTACGAGGTGTTCGTTTTGGCCCGGGCGGCCGAGGCAGAGAAAACAAGGAACCCACTCAGGGCGTGGGGAGGGGAATTGACTGCCCACCAGACCACCCCAACCCAACCCGAAGACCCGAATTTCGGGTTGGGGGGATATTGGCTCCATCTGTGTTTTCTCGATGTTCCCCGACCCCCCCTTATTGGAAATGAAGGGCAAACTGAGGCCTTCGGGTCGTGTTGGGGTGGTTTGGTGGGCGGTGAGAGTCATGGTAGCAGGCGAAGGGCGGTGTACAAATAACGTTCTCGCAGTCGGGGGCGCCTGTCCCGGGGCGGCTGGAAGGTTTCTACCCTTACGGAGGCACGTCAAGGTATCAACTTTCCAGCCGCCCTGGGGCAGCGCCGACAGGGAAGTCTGTGACGTTGTGATCTGGCCAGCGACCCTTCGTCCCGTACGCAATCCTCACACAGTAACGGGTCCTGGGCCCCAAACGTAGGGAGCAAGGGCTGTGCTGGTTGGTGGTGGACGCATGCGGGCGGTGCCACTGGGATCTTCGGTGGCGCTCCCTATGGGGCCACGAAGCGCTGTACTGGGTGGGCGAAACGCAGGGAGCAAGGGCCGTGTGGGGTGGTGGCGGACGCATGCGGGCGGTGCCACTGGGACCTTCGAAGGGACCCCCTTATGGGGCCACGAAACGCTGTACTGGGTGGGTGAAACGCAGGGAGCAAGGGCTGTGCTGGGTGGTGGCGGACGCATGCGGGCGGTCCCACTGGGGGCTTCGGTGGAGCTCCGTATGTGGCCACGAAGCGCTGTGCTGGGTGGATGGAACGCATGGAAACAAGAGGAGGGAGGGGAGGAGGGGAGGAGGGGGAGGAGGAGGAGGAGAGCTATCTTTGAATACTCCTCCTGTAGAGGGACACGCCCGACTTAACGCTAGAAGGATGGAACATGACTGCTGCTCAAAACTGGGCTCGCGCCCGCATGGCGGGCCCTCGGGGCGCGCTCGTCTCTCAGAGGGGGTGACTCCGGCCAGGGACAACGCATGCCCGTAGAAACCTCTGGTGGGGCCTCGAAGCGGGAGTGCACTTGCAGCATTACTGATGCACCATGGGCTCAGCCTGGTCGTCCTCCTCATCCTCCGCCTCCTCACCTCCCTCCCTCCCTCCCCATCCACCTCCCCGTCCCCCTCTCCATCCCCGTCCCCTTGCCCCTGCCCTCCTTCCTCCGCCCGTCCGTCCGTGCCTTTTCTTTGTCTCTCCCACTCTCTCGCTCCCCCAGCTCCTCTCCCTCACCATCCCCCTCCTCCATCAGCGCTTTCTGATTTAACTCCTCCTCCTCCTCCTCCTCCTCCTGCTCCTCCCTCCTGCACCTCCTCCTTCACCTTTTTTCACTCTTCCTTCTTCTCCATCCTGGTGCTGCTGTTGCCGCTGCTGCTGCCGCAACTCCTCCCCCTCCTCTTCACACTCCTTCTCCTCCTCCTCCTCCTCCTACTTCTGCTCCAGTGCTTCCTCCTGCCCTCCCCCCCTCCTCCCTCCTCCCCCCCTCCCCCGAACACTACTCCTGGCCCCCTCCCAGTCGGGGGCCTCTCGCGGGATCGCCGGCCCTGGGCTCGGGGCAGCCTCATGACACCCTCAGGGCCACCACCACCCACCCACCGCCCCGGCCAAACCCACCACCCCACCACCTCACCACCCCCCACCTCGGCCCACCCCATCACCACCCACCCCCCACCTCGGCCCACCCCACCACCACCCACCCACCACCCACCCACCACTCTGGCCCACCCCACCCGCCCACCACCCCCACCCTGGCCCAACCCACTGATTACCCCCTGCCTCTCGGCTGCCCCCCTCCCCGGCAAGGGCCCACCACCACCCTCCTGGCCGCCCCTCCCCTGCCCGCGCGCTTTTGCAGGCTAGGCGCCGCCCCGCCGCCACCGCTGGAGGTCTCTCCACGCGCCCTCCGCCTGGACCACGCACTCCTCGAGGCCCGCGTCGCAGAGCATGGGGCGGACGACAAAGCGCCACGACACGGTGCTCCAGAGGTAGAACGCCCCCGCGCCCACGCTCACGACCAGCACGAGCACCGGCGTCATGCTCTCCTGTAGCTGAGACAGGTCGGGCGCCTGCCGATCGCCGGCGGGGCGGGCGACCGTCTCCTTCTCCCACTGCCCGTCGAGGGGACGGACTTGCGATATGAGGGCTCGGCGGCCTTCCTCGCGACGCAGGCGGATGGAGCCAACGACCCTGCCGTCCTGGTTCACCAGGTCCCCCTCAAGCCAGCCGCCCCGAAGCGACAGCACGCCGCTGTGCCGGACGCCCCCTCGCGCGTCGATCACTTCCTCGAAGAGGTAGCGGCCGCCCGCGCCCACGCCGACCGTGTACGAGCTCTCGTCATACGCCCAGTCCCCCACCCAGCCGGCCGAGGGATCAGCCTCTGGAAAACCAAAAGGATGCCGATGCTGCTTCTCCCCCGGACCTCTCGCGGGGTGCGCTCTGGGCAGGATCTCACGGCGAATCCGAGGATGTCGGCGAGGGCCTCCCAGGAGACCGAACAGGGGGGAGAACCCGGGGCAGAGTCGAGGCATCGGCACCTTTGTGTCCTCCTCTGAGCCTCATCGGCACAGGGGACTCCCGCGGAGGCGGCGCCCGGCTGCGCTGCGGCGACGGCGGCGGGCTGCGCTGGGGCGGCGTACGCGGGCTGCGCGCCGGCGGCGGCCGGCTGCGCCGCGGCGCCGCGGCGCCCGCCCGGCGCTGGAGGCCGCGGCCGAGGGCTCCACGCGGGCGCGCCGGCGGAGGCGTGGCGCACGTCGCCTCGCGCCGCCGGAGCGCTGCACCTGGGGCGGGGGCGAGGGGAGGACCCAGACCTCCTCGCGTCACTTGCCGTCGTGCGTGTTTTTTTTGTCACGAGATGCCGAGAAAAAAGACACACGTCCGAGCGATGCCGAGGTTGTGAAAAAAAACACGACGGGCGGCTTTTCGCTATATTTTCGGCTCCTGCGGGCCCTTACCAGACCTCGGGACGGAAAACAACGACTGAGGATGAGAAAGCGGTCCTGAGGAAGGGGCCAGACCTCTGGGGGACGTCGCGAGAAAGAAAAACGACGTCGGGGGTCTGGGGAGGCAGCCAGCCTCGAGCCGACCCGTCGGCCGGAGGAGGTGGGCAGAAACATGAAGCAGGAAGGCGCGGGAAGCAGGTTGGGCTTCCGCCTGCCCGACGAAGAAGCAAAGGGGAAACCACGCGATCAATCGGCTAATGGCTTATCCTCCTCCTCCTCCTCCTCCTCCTCTTCTTCCTCCTCCTCCCCCTCCTCCTCCTCCTCCTCCTCACTCCTCCTCCCTCCTGGTCCGCCTCCTCCTCCTCCTCCTCCTCATCCATCCCGCCCCCCCTCATCCGTCCTTCGTCCCCGGCGCGGGCCGCGGCGCCTGTACCGAGCGCGGGATGCGCGCGCCGACAGGCGCACTCTGGCGACGAGCGACATGGCCGGAGCTCTGGACGCGTCCCCCGCCCCCCTGCAGAGCTCAGTGCGCAAGAGGGGACGAGGCAACGGGATGGTGGGGGAGGAGGTGGAGGAGAGGAGGACGAAGGTAAAGGGGCACAGGGAGTCACGAGTTCATCGACACACGTTCAAGGACTCCCCAGATCTTTCCAAGCGTAAGAGGGGACTAGACAACGGGGAGGTGGGGGGGGAAGGAAGGGGAGAAAAGGAGGATGAGGTTTCAATCAACCCGTATCAGAAGGACGCACGATAAGGATGCAAAAGCCTTGGAAGGCCACGCCGACACTCTGCAAGCGGGGCGCGGCCAGCGAAAGCGGCCAAGGGTGGACCGAAGGGGAAGGATGGAACGGCAGCCTTGGAAAGTTGATCATCCTTACTATGCGGGTGGACTGCAAAGGGGCACAGAGAGGCACGAGTAAATCGACACACGTTCCAGGACTCCCCAGATGATTCCAGATCCCTTGGACTTCAATGTACCCTCAATTTCCCACATGTCCCACAAGTTCCATGCAAGGCAACTTGTACTTGCCTTTGTGTTATAGTTCCCTCCTGCCTCAACATGACAACGACGCGGAAACCGCATGCAAGGCCCAAAGAGGATCCCACAACGCCGCAAGAGAGGCCCCAAACCATCCAATCATAGACGAATGCATGGTGTGCTTGTGCGTTATGCTTCAGCAGTTTCGTCCCGAGATGGCCATGGAAGTGCTCAAGAGGGCCTCAAGAGGATTCCAGTATGCCCTTTGCAGGACCCCAAATGGCCGAGACGAGGACAAAGACAGCCAATATGCTCCAAGAAACCCCAGAGGGCCCCAAGAGGCCTCGCAGACGGCCGAAAATCGCCAGAGAACCTCCAAATAATCAAATACGGCCGCAAGGCGCCCGAATACTGATTGAAAACCAGTCTCTCCCCATTATCCCTCGCCCCTGCTGTCCCTCAATCAGTCCCTCCCTCCCGCAAATGAAAACAGCCCTCCGTCTCTTCAGCTCTCCTCCCTCCTCCCTCCTCCTCCGTCCACCCTCAACTACAATCGATTCGTCCCTCTATTACCCCTCCCTAGCCGCGGCAGATATTGAAAGAACCCCTTGTTCCCAACCAACCTGTGTTGTTGGGTCCTCGTTTTGGAGAGACGTCGCCCCGCATTCCTCCTCCTCTCCTCTCCTCTCCTCTCCTCTCCTCCTCCCCCCCTTCCCTGCGATTCACGCATCCATTACAACGTTTCGTGGCCCCACAAGGAGCTCCACCGAAGGCCCCAGTGCCACCGCCACATGCGTCCCCCCCACTCAATACAGCGCTTCGTGGCCCCATAGGGAGCTCCACCGAAGGCCCCAGTGCCACCGTCCACATGCGTCCCCCCCACTCAGTACAGCGCTTCGTGGCCCCATAGGGAGCTCCACTGAAGGCCCCAGTGCCACCGTCCACATGCATCCCCCCCACTCAATACAGCGCTTCGTGGCCCCATAGGGACCTCCAACGAAGGCCCCAGTGCCACCGTCCACATGCATCCCCCCACTCAATACAGCGTTTTGTGACCCCAAAGGAAGCTCCACCGAAGGCCCCAGTGCCTCCGCCCACACGCGCCCCCCCCACTCAGTACAGCGCTTCGTGGCCCCATAGGGACCTCCAACGAAGGCCCCAGTGCCACCGTCCACATGCGTCTCCCCCCACACAGTACAGCGCTTCGTGGCCCCATTCGTGGCAGTTCGTGGCCCCAGGGAGCTCCACCGAAGGCCCCAGTGCCACCGTCCACATGCGTCCCCCCCCACTCAGTACAGCGTTTCGTGGCCCCATAGGGAGCTCCACCGAAGGCCCCTCCACCGTCCACATGCGCCCCAGTGCCACCGTCCACATGCGTCCCCCCCACTCAATACAGCGTTTCGTGGCCCCATATGGAGCTCCACCGAAGGCCCCAGTGCCACCGTCCACGTGCGTCCCCACCACTCAGTACAGCGCTTCGTGGCCCCATAAGGAGCTCCACCGAAGGCCCCAGTGCCACCGTCCACATGCGTCCCCCCCACTCAGTACAGCGCTTCGTGGCCACATAAGGAGCTCCACCGAAGCTCCTAGTGGGACCGTCGTGCGTCCTGAAACACCCAATTTGGCATTTTCACCCACCCATTACAATGTTTCGTGGCCCCACAGGGAGCTCCACCGAAGGCCCCAGTGCCACCGTCCGCAAGCGTCTCGGAACACCCGTTGTGGCATTTTCACCCACCCAGTCTAAAATTTCGTGGCCCCTGCAGGGAGCTCCACCGAAAGCCCCACTGGGACCGTCCGCGTGCGCCCCGAAAACCTAACGTGGCATTTCTACCCACACAATACAGCGTTTCGTGGCCTCTTAGTAAACTCCACCGAAACCCCCAGTGGGATCGTCCGCATGCGACCCGGAAACTCAATTTGACATTTTCACCCACCCACTACAGCGCTACGTGGCCCCATAGGGAATTCCACCGAAGCCTCCAGTGGGACCGTCCGCGTGCGCCCCGGAAGCCCACTTTGGCATTTTCACTTACCCAGTAAAGCGTTTCGTGGCCCCATAGGGAGCTCCACCGAAGGCCCCAGTGGGACCGTCCGCGTGCGCCCCGGAACTTTATTTGACACACCACTCACCCAAAACAGCGCCCCCCCCCACCCAGTGCAACGCTTCGTGGTCCCATAAGGAGTTTCACCGAAAACGATTTTCACAACTGCGGTACCCACAACTGCATATGTTTGGGTCCTTCGCCACGATAATTTATAATGGCGTAATCATGTTTTTTTTTCTCGCTGGCTCTATCCCACCGCGGCGGCCAATGCTGAGGCCTCCACCGTCTTCATTGTCGACGCCGTTGTCGTCGCCGTACTCGCTCGCGTATTCTTTCTCCTCCATCTCCTCGTCCTGCTCCTCCTCCTCCTCCTCTTCTTCCGTTTTCTCTTTGTGCGCACAGGCCGAGCCGGAAACGCCCTTTGCGTGGGACGAGGGGGATTGGGGCGAGGAGGGGAATGACGAGGCGGGGAAGGACGAGTCTTGTTCCCAGCCTAGAGCTCAGGGGAGGGGCCTTAACGTTAGATACCTCCCTCGAATACCCCTCCCATGCCTACTTTCCCCTTGGTTCTTCTCCCCATCCTTCCAAACCTTTTCCCTCCATCTCTCCACCCCTGCCTATCCTTACTTCCTGTGAGTAAGCACCCCCGCATCCCCACCTAGCCGGCCGATAGCAACCCCGCCGCCTTAACTGTCAAACAAACAGCACGAGCTCAATTTTTTTCGCCAACGTGTCGTCGAAGTGCGACAAGTGTACCAAGCATGGGGCGGAAAGGACATCGCTTGGGTAAATGGAGCGGGTGGTCGCGTCCTATCCATCCAAGAACAATGCAAAGTCACTGTTTTTCTCGTCAACGTGGACTTTCTTGTCGCCGACGCTGCGGAAACTGCAGCGGTAATGGGACGCGGCGCACATCGCGCGCGGACGCCTGGCCAACCCTTCGCGGGACCCCCCGTCCTACCTGTCAAGAAACACCGCAACGTCGACGCTGCTCCTGCCAATATGTACTTTCTCCTTGTCGGCGCTGCGAATCGCGTAGCGGGAATGGGACGCCCCGCGAACTCCCAAGAGACATTATCCTCTTCCTCTTCCGTTTCTCCCTCCCTCCCTCTCTCCCTCCCCTCCTCCTCCTCCTCCTCCTCCTCCTCCTCCTCCTCCTCCTCCTCCTCCTCCTCCTCCTCCTCCTCCATGCGCGGCAGGAATGACACGATTGGCGGTACAACAAGCGTGGCTGGAATTACACGCGGTGCACTTCGCGCGCTGGACATGTTGTCGCCGACGATGCAACATGAGAGGCTGGAGCGGGGCGCGGCGTACATCGCGCGAGGTCTTGTTTCTTGTCGGCGTTGCTCAATACGCGGCAGGAATAGGTTTCGCGCGCTGAACGTCTAGCCGCCCACGATATAAGATGAGCGACAGGCGTCGGACGCGACGAACTTGCTTCTTATGTTGTGGAAGGGCGGGTGGGATTGGACGGAGCCCTCTGGCTCGTTCGAGCTGGCTAACTTGACCCTTATCCCACCATCACCTCTCCCTCCTCATCGCTGCCTGCTCCCTCCCTACCTGTACTTTTCTCCCCTGCCTGCGCTCCGTACCCTTCGCCAACCACTTCCTCCGGCCGACCTCTCTTTCCTGTCTTTTTGATCGAACGGGTAGCCGCTGTCTCGACAACACATCTGCCCCAAGCCGCCA